AAAAAAATCTGCCCCCTTACAGCTCTATCATCGGACCCTGGATACGAAATATTCGTCAAGGCGAATCACATAAGCCCGAACTCCATTTATGGTTCTATTGTTTTGTTACGGAGGTGGCCATTGCATCTCCTCCAGATCCATTATCAGACAGAGCTAAGAAATAAATAAATAAATATTATTATAAGTAAACAAATAACTAAAATAATTCATCTTACTATCTTACTTTTTACTAGTCTTACTAAAATTATAAATACGAAAGGACATCATTCTTTTTGGGCCTTTTCTAAAAGTGCCGGCCAACAAAAAATTATGGTACGTATTGTTAGAACTAGCTATTTGGAGCAATAGTTAATNTAAAATGTTAAAAATGAATATATGAGAGTAAAACAAAAAAGCCGTCGAAGTACTTCTTTGGGATTTTTTTTTATCGGACAAACTAATGCAATTATCGTGTTTTGGAAAAGTTGTCGCCCTAGTTAAAGATCATTAACTTACTCCTACAATTTTTTGTTTGCTAAAATATCTTTTCATTTAGAAACTATCTGCAAACAAAATCGGTCAAATATCGACAATTTGGGAAATCATGGCCTTAAATATTAACAAAATGTTAAGTAATAGTTTAAAAATGTATTAAAAGTCAAGCTAACCATTGTTCGAAAAACATTTTTTTCTAATATTTAACCACTTGTCATTTGACATCTGTCAAATTTGACCATTGGTTATTTTAACTACGAATCAAAAAACCGGGCCTAAAGAGAACAGCGAAGCACATTTATTATACTGATTTTAATCTTCAAATTAGCATATTCACATGTTCCTGTCTATAACCATCGGACTTACATTATAAGGAAATTCGGTTAAGTCAGAATAACTTGAGGGCCTATTTCAATCCCTGTTAGCTATTAAAATTGTTAAGCGAAGTTTAATTAAACAAAGAGCGTTATTGCTTTAACTTTCTTAATTCATTTGATACTGATCTTTCAATCTTTTTTTTTTTAATATGTATTCTTTGTCGAATATACATATTTGTTTTGGTAACATAGTTGGTTAACAAAGCGTAGCAAAAGCGTTTGCTCTGTGGTTGGCCTGTTGCCAGTGAGTCCACGTACCATATTTAATGTTGTCTAGAGCCAGTAGAACCTCCGAACCGCTGACCTTGTTTCACCAGCTATTAGGTTAAGTAATTTATCTATTTACTATTTCAAAGAAATCGCAATGATATTATCGAGTATTTTTTCTTCGCCCATTATGTTTTGGTTCGGTGCCTCCGTATCTTTGGCGAACATCAAAGCTTAACGTCTAAATAGCCTTCGAGGTGAAACATTTATGAGGATGCGGGTGCTTCGGAATCATCTGAAGTACCTTTGTAATAAAAATCTAGTGGTATCAGGAAAAATAAGGACATTGGAGCGTAATTTTATTCGGTTCATTCAAAAGATCGACGTATTCTTACTTTCTTCATAACCGGACAGTTAAATTTCAAGATAGACATATGAGTACTGTTTTGCATTACTTAATTAAACTCTGTTTGCTGTTGTTAACTTATTTATAACCTAACTATTTGTGTGCCCCTAACTTTCATCGTTGTTCCAACAGAGTCATATTAAAACACATAAATTGTCTACAATTTATTGGTTTTCGTTCGTAACTCTGTTAAAGCGTTAAAACTCCATGTACGCAAAGTCGTTAGCAACTTATCCTATGCACGACACAAAACTTGTTTAAGCAGCTTTTACGAGGAAGCGAAGCGCTTGCACAGTAAATATTTTTTCTCGCAAATCTCGTCAACTTATGAAGTTGTGAAGATACTGCCGCTTTTTCATCCAAGTTATTTAAGAGTCCTCGCATTTGTTTCTAAACTTTTCCATATAACTCGGAGGTGGTTGCGCTGGCTCGCTGCCAAGACGTAGCGTTCCGTCTAGCCGCTCTAAGAACCGCCCTCTAAGCCCGATGTGGAGATAAACACTGAACTGCATAGCAGCAAAAAATCGCTTCAAGCTACTGCAATTAACTACCAACCGAAATCATAGCTAGCTTCGTGCGGCCGTTATTTAAACTCAACTCGTAATTAGTTTCAAGACGATCCAGCACTGTATGAGCCGGTATTAACCCAATTAGCAAATATCTATTAACGTCTTTCGTTCGATCTTTCTTTGTAGCCTTTTATATTCCAACCTTTTAATCCTATTAAATGATTATATCTACTCGGCAACAATCTATCTATTATATAAAAGAAAGTCGTGTTAGTTACTCCACTTATAACTCAAGAACGGCTGAACCGATTTAGCTGAAAATTGTCAAGGAGGTAGTTTAGAGCCAGGAGAAGGACATAGGATACTTTTTATCCCGTTCGAAATTAAAAAGTCTGCTTATTTATTGCCATTAAGGCGGAACAAAGTTCGCCGGGTCAGCTAGTATGCGTATAAAGTAAAAAGTGTTGTAACGAAAAATTAATAAATGTTTAGGGACCTTTTCAATGATCTACCATATTAAAAATTCAAACTAAGGCTTTAGGCTAAACGATTTTCACCCTCTTTTGTGCACATGCCGGGAATCGTGATTTTTATACCCATAGTTATTTAGTCGACTCTACATTTGACCCGCAGTTTTGCTTTGGATAGATTTTGGGAAGTCCGGAAAAGGTGTCGTTTGTCAATTTTTGACAATTTGTAATTTGGACTGTTTGTTGCATTCGTTCTTTTCCTGTTATTTTCATTCGGACGTCATGTTCATGATTCAATACTCAAATCATTTATTCAAATGTACAATGACCTAACGAAGTTTGGTTTGGACTAAACACACAAGGAGATTTAACACTAACTACGTGTAATCTGTTTCCCATCTGTCAATTTAAACCAAAATTACTAACGTTGAATAGTAATTTAGGAATAGGAGTTTTGTGTAATGATCTTCATAAGATGAGTAGCTACAGCAATCTACCTCTTTATAAATTCATGTTGGTATAGCTAGATTAGAATTATGTAACTCTTCCCCTTCAGGTAGATGCTTTTTATGTGCTACTAATTCTTGTGGACCAAGAGATATGAGGGTAAAATATAATCCTGTCTAAAGGTACTGTAAAGGAACCATTCCGCGTTAGAAATGAGTTTCATAATATGAAAATGTGTTTTCATGAAGCTTTACCCTTTCCCGTACCTGAAGTTAAAATAAAAACATAACTCAGATTATTCACACTTTATGAGTTGATGGTTTGTAGTAGCTTTGTGAATAGTAAAAATGTTTTTATTTTACTGCATAATATGAGCGAAAAGCTCACCCTCTCTTTTATTATTTTTTACCTCTTGTATTCGAACTTTAAAGACTGCGAACTCTCTTTGCGATAAACTACAGTGACCGTAAATTTTCAGACATTAGGAAAAGATCTAACGAAGAAATAAGTTAAAGTAGGTTCTGTAGCACGGGTACCACGAAAAATCCTCTGTCAACTACTTAATTTATTTTGATTCGGTAAATTTAAATAACTTTTTTATTGTTTCAGGTGGAAGAAATACGAGAGATGATAGACAAGATTCAGGCAAACGTCGAAGAGGTAAAGAAGAAGCACAGTGCCATCCTATCCGCACCGCAGTCAGATGAAAGTAAGTTAAAACTATTTTTATTTTTGATCCTCATTCGGGTCGGGGGACGACGCTGTCTGTATTGCCACAAAGATTTAAAAAAAATTATGAAAAAGAAGTCTCTTCATAATTAAAGGTCATATTCTGAAAATAGAAATAAGCCTTGTTGTTGTAAAATGTTTACCCATTATATCCCATTTCAAAATTTCAAATAGTAGCCGATATTTCACTAAGTTAAAATGAAAATTTCTATAAATACCAGTTGTTTGCCGTCTGATCGTCTCGTCTTAAATATGTGGCGTAGGTTGTCCGAAGTTAGTGACATGCCCACACATAAATTGAAGGGCGAAGTTGGTGGCATTTGCGCAGCCAGACGATTGCGGGGGCGGCTCGTCTGTCTTCATGGGATCTTGTGACGTCATTGCTCCCTCGCCATACAGCCAGAAACCTATCATATGCAAATGCGCCACATTGCAAAATTAGACTAGATTACTCGAGTGCCTTAGACTAATGAGAATTCTGATAGGAGAAGCAATTATTCAACGAAATGCCCTCCGCCTCATATCTAAACTAAATATAGCCAGGTCAATGAAACTGGCTTGGCGGCCACGGCTCCGGTGTTCATACGTAAATTTTCGGGGCTTACCATATTTAGTTGAACATTTCATTTGGCTATATTTTACTGTACACGATAAACTCTGAAATATACCGGAGCTATATTTTTATGCGGGGTTTATGGAATAATGCCCACAGCTTTGTTTTATCGAAACATTTATCGTTTTGAGAGCTTATGTATGTCAATGTGGCTCGCGTATTTCCTCTCTTTTGTAGAATAATAAATTGCCTCAAATACTTTTAGATGAATTAACATTAATATTTTTTTCTCTGAGACTGAAATAGTCGGATTTTCTTCCAATTTTGGCGTCTTCAAGTTCAATAACAAGTCCTTGGAATATTTTAGTTCTTCACCGATAGCATCAGTCTGTGTTTCACGACCCTAAGGGTTGTTCTACAACATGATTTAGTCATAAACTTGAAAAGGTATAAAAACGCGACTATATCAATAAATATCATAATGTTGTTGAACGGGCACCCACTTGGGGCACGGTGGACCCTGGCGGGACGTCACGAATAGTCACGATTAGCCATTGACCCGACCTAAATAGCTCGGAATAAGCCATCGACGGCGTCGTTATATTGAACAAGTTCACGATAACGTTTTATGCGTCTATTAATAATAAAATGGGCCCAGTTTGTACCCTTGAAACTATGTAATGAGATTTGTTATTTACCTTTATTGAATTGTAGTGAAAATTTTACATGTTTTTGAGGCTAATAACTAATTTTAAACAGAATACATGGTACGCCTACGCCCCATTTGATGGAATATTATTTAATCAATATTTTCTAGGAAATATCATTAGGATTGCCCAATGATAGTTCCTAAATCAATGGATTTATCTTACATCGTGATCTCATCATGTTGGGACTTTGGGATGTGTATGCGACGAACACTAACTCGGTATTATTGGGTAGGTAAATCGGTTTTTATAAGATGTCTGTGTTTCCTCTGACTCTCTTGTGATTCATGTCGTTAATGTTTGCTAATAGCTACTTCCTTTGGTTGATCGATTAATTCTACCAGTATAAGAATGACACACAGGAAATTCTTGCCTCATGCTTGTCTCATTCTTAGTTCAATGATTCGTTCAGAAATTGTATACGTATATAGTATATAATTTATGAACCTAGCAAGAAAACCACTTTATCGTCCGTCATCTGTCCCTCAGTCGTAGTCTTTGAGCGATTGGAGTATACTCAGCGACTTTCTCGGCAGAATTAATGAAGTGGTATTCTGTAGCAGACCTTCTCAGATATTCATGAATAATTTAAAAAGTATAATAATTTTCATTCATTTATAATATTAGAAGGATCCACTTAAAGCCCAAGTTCAGCCAGTATCAGAAATCAGAATCTATATTTACCTTGTTCAATCTAGCGATTCGGCTTTCCCTAAATATTTGAAAGTAATTGGTGGATTCGTTTTAGAAATCAATGAAAACCCATTAAATTTCCTTTCGGCGAAATAGAGGGGATCAACTTTAACATGAATCGTGGAGTGGTGAAATTGGATTTTATTTCAAGACTTTTTTCCTCGTCTCGACTTGGCCTGTCAGGCAATTACTTTCGGAGTGCTGCTTGCTTCAAATGACCCCGTATAGTACCTCAAAGTTGGAAAACAGCGAGCACGAATGTTACACTCAAACGACCCAAATAATGCAGCCATTATGTGCAGTTTTCCTTCTCTACGTAATCGTGTTGTATTGTGCTGATGTGACGAAGCAAAACGTCACATGCTTTCCGACGACAATCAACGAGCACGATTTACCACTTTAGAATTCGGTTGTATGTGACCTATTAACATGCTCGTTCATCTAGTATTGTATTCTTTGAAGATTAGTCTTATCATCAGCGTTTATGTCATCGCTAATTATAGCTTGAAACTCAGCATCAGAATTTGAAAAGATCTAAACGTATTGTTAACTTCAGTGTGATTATTATTCAAGACAAGTCACAAGACTTTTCCATCGACCGAGACATTTCGATACAATTGCCACTCAACATCACTTTATTTAATTCCATTACCCATCCAGGTGATAATAGACTGACTTCTATCCTAAGCTTCAACTTAATTATTTACATTGACAGTAAATTATGGTTTTGTATTCGACCTGATCGTTCAATGAGATTGAATGGAAGCTCTGAATCACTGCGATGAATAAATCATTTAGTTATATTTGTAACTTGTTAACTGTCAGTTCGCGTGATAAATTGGATTTAGGGCCTGTGATACAGTTATTTTGTTATTTTTTCGACGTTGCTAACGATCGAAGGATACGCCCGTATTTGTTTCCTTGTTCGTTGTTATTCTGAACTCACTTGCCACAATCAGACCGAGACATTCGAAATTTTCGCGCAATCTCAGCCACAATGGCCGAACGACCGTTTAAAATAGAACGGTTTGGTACTACTATACCTTTGTTAAGGTTATTTTATTGCAATGTTGTTATTTCCCTTTAAAAGTAAGAGGTGTTATTAAGGATGGTTAGGAGGACGTGTGAAAAATGTAATAGCCAACTCGCGGACAAATAATAACTTTAGCTTTCTTATTTGATAAAATCAAATGTGTGTTGTGATTGATGACTAAATCAAATTATGAAAGCAGTCAATTAATGTTCCATCCATATTGATGGCAGTAAGGCCCAGTTTTTCGATTCATAGTTAAAATAACAAATCGTTAAATTTTGCTACTAATGGTTAAATACTAACAAAATGTTAACAAATAGTTAAAAAAATGTACTAAAAGTCAAGCTAACCATTGTTCGAAAAACATTTTTTTCTGATATTTAACCACTTGTCATTTGACATCTGTCAAATTTGACTATTGGTTATTTTAAGAGCCATTTCACAAAAATATTCCNTTAAATACGAATCAAAAAACCGGGCCTAAGTATTATTTTTGACAAACTAGGTGAAATAACCTTAATTAGTCATGTCTTAACAAACGTGTAATAAAACCACTAATTACTCGTACATCTGGTATTCCGTTACGTATTCTCGCCCAAATAACACGCATTTGTTTACAAACACTTGATTAGGATTGTTCTCACTCCAAATAATAAATTCGCGAACTCATTGCATAGAAATGATGCTTATTAGCGCGTCATACCGAATCAGCTTAAAATATATTATCCTCAGTGGGCCTGTTTATCCTCAATGACGTTAATTACAATTAGGTAATTACATTACGACTCGTCCCCTTGATTAACATAGTAGAAAAGAAAAAACGCCGGTTGTATTTGTTGTCTCTCTTTCTCTGATAAGGAAAATGAACAAGGCGACGTAATTATTTTGTTCTATGTATAGTTGGTTATTTAATAATTAACATTGTTTGCGATAATACTGAATGATGACTATAGCAGCTAGGTGTAATTTGATTAATCGGCGTTAAAACCCTGTTGTTTTCTATAATTATTGCTTTCATTAGACAATATTATTTTCAGTTACGTTTTAATCATTGGAAAAGGTCTTATTAGACGTGGAAAAGCATATCATTCCGCATCGCTAGTTAATTTTCAATAAAAACTTAAATCAGAAGCTGGAATAATCTGTGCGATATTTTGGACATGTCATTCAAAATTCACCGTTGTTCACGAAATATATTTCAGACAATTTTCGACGCGGTCATGATTACTAATACGTATAATATTGTATGGAAACTCGATGTACTCGGTAACGAGTGGCAAAATTTATACACCTACGTGTTTCACGTATTGTCGAAACATTATTTCACAGTTACAAAACAAAGTTACTAATGTAGTTATAACAGATAACGACTACATACGTTCATTTGAGAAGTAATAAAAGCCATGATACATTGTTAAAGTTTCACGGAAATAGGCGCATAATATCGGAATATTACCATCCTTTGAAAAGGGTCTGAAAGAAAATGAAAATCTAAAAAGATTTATTGCTATTATAAACCTCAATTATGCTAAAATGAAATAAGCTATGATTTATTCAAATAAATAATACGTGCGAACTGATATAAATTGGGAAGCTAAATTGTATTTTTTAATTAATGATATCCATCAATCGGATAAGCCGTATCATATTCCATTTCTGGACTTAGTTCTGATTACTCCGGATCAATGATAAACTGGTTATTATTCAAAGCTAATTTCATATTTCATTATACTCTGTGGTGGATGATCGATCGATAACGTTAGCGTAACTTCTCGCTGCTTATTATCGTATTCCCATGCATATAAGGCTAACTTAACTTTGTTCCGACGCCAGGTAAGGCAGTTAAACCGTAAAAGGTAGATTTGAAGTCGTAAAGAGTAGCTATGAAGTAGGTATAGTCTCAACACAAAGGTCCAAGAGTAGTTCCTTCTGTTCACTTTGTTACTGTGTTAATGTCCCTCCAGAGATCCCATTGCGAAATAACACTGTAACAACAACGATCCTAACTCTGGCACGTTGCTTGGTTACAGCCTTATACATATGAAGGAGTCTAAGCTTGTTTTTGTGTTATCCATTTATACTATTGTTTTATTGGATTCCAAGAAGAAAAAGCGCCTTAATTTAGCCAGTACCAACACCAACGAGTGAGCTTTGTGACTATTACGTAATACCAAAAAGATATAATGTCAGGTCAAAGAGTGCCAGTAGTAGCTACCAACCACATGACGGTTACTCCAACAGACAGTTTTTCATTTCGAAATTTGCAATTTGTAACTTCAGATTGTAGGTCAAACAACGCTCGACTATCAGTTCCCAGAGTTCATAACAAGAGAAGACTGGGCTTCATACTTCACGGTTATCTCGTGGAATATCCGCCGCCATTGGAAAATTATCCGCTCGTTTGCGTATGCACACTCCAAATAGTTTATGTAAATTTGAAGCGGGTTATTCGCTGATAAACCGTGGGCTGAGCGGGTACCCTCTTTGCATGAAGTAGTGTTAATGGTGAAATGTATGCCCATTCGTTAAATAGGGGACCGGCACTATCCCGGAATTTTAAGAATAATTGCGTTTAATTCGCTTTATGGCTCTGAAAGCTGGGTGTGTGGGCGAGTCCATTACAAAAGTATCAAATTAATAAAATACACAATGTATATCAAATTTTCCTTAGAAACCATTTCGAAAAACACAATTAGTGATGTTATGGTGTGACGTTTTGATAAGAAGCGTTTATAGGATTGTCCAATAATGTTGTTTTAAAGAATTATATCTTGGGGAGTTTTTTTTTATGCTATCGAAGTAATTCTTTCACCGTTGTTTCTTTTATTGAGAGGTCAATCTTTAAAACACCAAAGTAAAAATTGGTGAGGTCCCATATTACAAGAGGCTTTTGGATTATTACCATGTGTGGAAGCACGTGCTGTAATCAGTGGCTCCACAATCAGGTCGATACGTCTCCTGCCATAGGAAATGCAATTTCCTCTCCCGGCGTATTCGGGAAATTTACTTTCCTTGTGAACATTGAACAATCAGAAATGTTGCGTAGGCCTCATACTTAAGTGGATAAAGTGCAAATTAGAATTTTTATGGTAAGGATCATAGGGAAATTTTGACTAATCGATTGTATCTCCACATTGACGGTATGATAAAATATTGTAGTAAGAGTACCTAACCATGTGACGATTACGTTATTTTGAAATTATGTGTCAGATGACCGATCTTATTGTCGCCGAATATAAATTAAATCCTGGCCTTTGCCCTCATAGTATCTTTGCTGAAATAATTTTGCAGCTTTTATCGCATTACAATCAAAATTGACCCGTGTGCAGTCAGGGCCAGGTCAGGGTTACAATGAACCGTTTGTAATCTGTTAATAAAATGACATGGCCGCCGCATTCAACGCAGTGTTGCCGTTTTCCCTAAATACTGCATAATTGCAATTTCTGCAGTCCGGTCTGGATTAAGTAGGTCTAGATTTTGATAACGAACCTGTCTTAATCTTAGCCCTTGGGAAAGGTTCCGTGAACGTCCTTTCTAAGATCTTAATTTTCTTATAATTGCCGCATCGTTTATGTATGGTATGACTTTTCTTCTCTTTATCTGTTTGCCACAAAATGCTCTCAAATAGTGCGTGTCAATTGATTCGTCACATTATTTCTTCTATAGACTATAGTTTTCATCTAAGACAATTTTGTATTGTATCAAACATACATTTTCATTAGTGACAAAATGAACAAAGTACTAATTGTACCGCTCCGTTAAGCGCTATACTGTAATCGTTTGGGTAGTTATTAAGGCGATTACTTCTTCGGCAACTTCGCCCATAGAAGCCGCGTGCTGCTTGGGTCAACTCGTAATGGACGAAGTTCGTTATCACCGCCGCCAGCGCCACTTGGCTCGTTGTTTACCGTGCAGATTACTTGATTGCCAATGTTCGGTATTGTTCGATACAAACTGTTTGCCGGACTTCTATTTTGAACTGATTCAGTCAAACCGCCGCTGCTATATTGAAATGGGTAGTTTGGGTTGCTAACTAGTTTTGGGAGATTAGTTGTTGTTAAGTATTGGTTAGGTATGTGTTCTGCTTATGAATATGGACTATTATGGACCATGTTCACTAATATAATAGGTATAATGTATTTCCAGTAAATACTTTTTATCTGATTTTGAATATTTTAAGTTTCTTCAGTACCTTCTAGCGTCATTGTAAAAGTGACGTATAGTCATGAGTAAAACACTATTTTACCACCATCCATATAGTTAGAATAAAATGGTTTTAAATAGAGACTTCCTTTGTTTTACGACAGGAACTGCTTTATCACCATTTGCGGGAAAAGCCTGTGGGTTAGTAGGACTCTCCCATCAAAGGATTTCCCCTCTATCAACCAGTTAGGCTTAGTAAGGTTCTATCCAGTAATTTCAAACCGTTTTGCTAATCGAAATCGTTAAATTCAACGATGAGATCACTGCGTAGAAAATTATATCGCCCACTCAAAATATCGGCCACTATTCCAGCGTGGGTTGGACAGTAATTTTATTAATAACGGTACTTGACTCGCTGATTTTATGAAATGGCATGGCATTGCAATATCTAACCAGAGTTTTTTTGTTCATTTCAGAAACAAAGCACGAATTAGAAGATCTCATGGCTGACGTCAAGAAAACTGCCAATAAAGTCAGAGGAAAATTAAAACGTAAGTTAATCTTGTTTAGTAGAAACCACTGCGAATAAACTTGCAGCATTAACTTGATAAATAACTTAGCACTGCTCAGATTGCAGTAGCGCGAGACTAATAATAATACAAAACATCATTGTTATTTTCCTGTTGCACACAATTTGTCACTTTCTGGTACTCTTCTATTTCCGTTGTTACGATTTTCCTCTCTAATGACTACATCTGTTACTATGACGTATCTTTCATCACCTAATAAAACATAAACTAAACCATTATAAACCAAAATCCACAGACATAGAGCAGAACATCGAACAAGAGGAGCACTCTAACAAATCTTCAGCGGATCTCAGGATAAGAAAGACGCAGCATTCCACGCTGTCGCGCAAGTTCGTCGAAGTGATGACCGAGTACAACCGGACGCAGACCGACTACCGGGACCGCTGCAAGAGCAGGATACAGCGGCAGCTGGAGATCACCGGCCGCGCCACCACCGACGACGAGCTTGAAGAGATGCTGGAACAGGGCAACTCCGCCGTTTTCACCCAGGGGGTAAGTGCCATTTTTTCCATGTATAGTTTTTTAAACAAAGGGCTGTATGGATGTACTACTGGGATATGTGCAAGAGCAGGATACAGAGGCTGCTGGAGATCACCGGCCGTGCCACCACCGACCACGAGCTCGAAGAGATGCTGGAACAGGGCAACTCCGCCGTTTTCACCCAGGGGGTAAGTGACATTTTTCCATGTATAGTTTTTTTAAACAAAGGGCTGTATGGATGTACTACTGGGATATGTGCAAGAGCAGGATACAGCGGCAGCTAGAGATCACCAGCCGCGTCACCACCGATGACGAGTTGGAAGATATGCTGGAACAAGGAACCTCCGTCGTTTTCACCCAGGGGGCTAGTATCATTTCTCCATGTACTGTTTTTTTGAAAACAAAGGCCCGTGTGAACTTCTGAGACCGGTGCAAGAGAAGAAAACAGCGTCAGTTCTAAATCTAGCATAATTTCAAGTGGTGAACACTGCGAAGACACAGGCGAATACAAACTATGATAGCTATCCTGTTTTGTTATCGATCCGGTTTTGGAAGGAATTTAAAACTTACTATTAATGTAGATCTTAGCTACACAAGCAGGACATGCAGCGGTGAGAACGAGAGGTGGGAATAGTCCCGTATAGACCAAACTACGTCCTATTTTTCTGACTGTCAATCGATACTATCATTCAGTAGAAGCACAAATAATGTAATCGCCAATTAAAACGTTCCAGATAATAATGGAGACGCAGCAGGCCAAGCAGACGCTGGCGGACATCGAGGCGCGGCACGCCGACATCATCAAGCTCGAGACCTCCATCCGCGAGTTGCACGACATGTTCATGGACATGGCGATGCTCGTCGAAAGCCAGGTCATACAACCTTTCCATACTATCCATACATTTTACATGAAATATTTAAAAAACTTGAATCTAGTAGACTCTTTTGAGAGTAATAGGTAGTATTTAAAATACCTTCCTATGAACGCAGGGCGAAATGATCGACCGCATTGAGTATCATGTAGAACACGCTGTGGACTATGTCCAAACTGCCACACAAGATACAAAGAAGGCCCTTAAATATCAGAGCAAAGCTCGACGGGTAAGTTGCCTTGTACCAGTGCAGAATCATTCGTTGCTAATCTTTTGTTTTTTGTTTTGTTTCTCCCGCCCCGACACGCATCCCGTCATCCGAATCCCGAATCCTGCCATGTTTTGTTACGTGAACGTTTACGATGTCCCGTCCACCATTTTGTTTACGTTGATGATCCGGTGATTGGTTCACACCCATGCCTTTATGTTTATTTATGTTTTTCATCGCATCACAATAATTTCGCTTTGACTGTCGTGTTCTAACTGTTCATGTTGCTCCAACTAACACTGATGGAAATGGGCTTTCTACTCCCGATCTGTCTGATTTTATGTTTCACTAATATAACTTCATTGGTGTGTGCGTAATTTGCCTTTTGCATATGTTAATATTGTATGTTATCATTCTGTTACTAACGCTTCTAAAACTTTGTACTGTGTAACAAACCTTCCGTCGATGTAACTATCTAACTGACAATGGTACTTACTAGGGTAACACTAAATGTCATAAATGTAACACCATGTTCGTTGTGTCGGAGTTTTATGTATATTTTATTCTTTTTTGATTTAATTGACCTTGTAATACTATCCTCTCACTGTCTAACATTCTTAATCAGCATCGATTTGGTTGGTTCCTGTAACTTACCCGTGGGAACTGTGTAACTCGTATGAACCAATCGGCCGCATACGTCCCGTCCCAGCTCCATTACCTTAGGCGAGCAGGGCGAACTGATAGATCGCGTCGAGCATCATGTCACGCAAGCCGCCGAGTACGTGGACACCGGCCACCACGATATCAAACTGGCTTACGGCTGGTACCAAAAAGCCCGAAAGGTAAAGAAACCACGACCCACCAGGCTTACGGGTTGATACCACTAACAGAACTATGACTTTAAACACTTCACTGAAGAAACGAAGCTAACAAGACATCTATCATACGCTACGGGGAACTCGAATATGGTGCTTCCACGCGTAACCCAAAACCTGAGGCTATATCTGCCGCTATATCAGTTATCGAACTTTTATAAGTCTCTTGTCTTAAGTTTCCTTCATACCTTTTATCAGTTACATGCATGCTAAGCATTTGAGTTCGAAGTTTGCATCGTGTGGTCTTTGTGATCATCGGCGTATAATCGAAAAGGTCCGTTCGCTTATAAATGAAATATAATGCATGTTTTATAAAACGCACAGCTTTCAGTTATGCTCATGCACACCCATCATAAATGCGTCATAAATAACGCCATATATGTCGGACCAAATGCTCTACCGCCTTAATATAGCGCTTGGCGAACACAGATACTAAAATCATTGACCACTTAAAGCTAAAAATTTTAGCTAAACCATTGGTCAGTGGTTTCGTTCGTCTGAAAACAACGCCTTGACGCGTTGGACGGGCTTTAGTGTAAATTATGTACATTTAAAAACCCCACTATTTTTAGAGCTTGTTTATTAGTTTTGTGATAAACCATAATGTCACTGGTTGGTTCATATTCTATGGCTGACGAAATGACAGTGTGTTTAAACAACAAAATCAGAAAATTTAAAAGATCTTCAAGACTCGGCGAACAGTATTATTTTTTGTACACCATTGTGGTAAAGGGACCCTTGCTTTCGATGTGGTTGTGGATATTGCATGAATGAGGTTACAGGTGAAGTAACTTTTTGCATCATAACAGCTTACACAATAGTCTAAAATTAATGTTTTGAATTTATGTGCAAAACTGCAAATCAATACAGTATTACAGTTATTATTAGAAAATCAAATGCGTAATTTAATTATTTGAAAATACGTCAGTTGTTATGATGAATAAGATAACCGAATACAAGATCTTTTGAGTTTTTCAGTTCTAGCTAGAATCGAATTAATGCTCAAATAGTATTTTGAATCCCTTTTATTAACATAAGTAGAGAGATTCCAAATATGCTATTGAATCTTTTGTTTTGAGTATGAAGCTTCTATTTTTTTGAATTTCCTGTTTTTCATTATCAAATCGCTAAAAAAGTTTAGGATTGGAAATCGTGCAATTGTCTTCTCGTTTTTCTGCCATTCAATGACCAATATACTTCTTCTATCTCTATCTACTTAATACCTTTGTTGTCCCAGTCATTGCTCATACAGTTTTCTGTACAACAAGTAAGCAAATAACGGCCGGTTCACACATGTCTCCGTTTTACTGTTCCGTTTTATCGTGTACGTTTTTTTTTCTTCGATGGCGTAGTTGTATGAGAAACTTCACACATGACACAGTATTGTATACAGTAATACATACAAAAAACGTACACGATAAAACGGAACAGTAAAACGGAGACATGTGTGAACCGGGCGTTACACGTTCTCTGTATGAATCTGTTACAGAACAGCGTCTAGTAATAACGATTAAGTGAACTAAATATGTACGAATTTGAACTTACTTAGAATACTCATTATTGGCTCCGGTGACCTTTCGACGCGTCTTTCCATTCTATACATAGCCAGAACGCAAGGGTGTGAAACTAATCGAGTATAGTTTGGATGTGACTTTTTTTACTAAGCTCCTCCAAACTATACACGACCAGTACGCATACGCTGCGTACTGCTCGCGTATACTTTGTAGTGACTTAGGTCAATTATCTTACTCCAAAATATACATCGTCAGTACGCATACGGACTAATCATGTATGTATTGTAATAAGTTCGCGATTACAATGTATACGCGAGTACTTAGTTGCATGCTCGTCATTTTGACTTATTTACCTCTCTTTCTATTACATATTAATTCATAACTGCGTGTCTACTTTAAACATTGAATCAACTTCGACACGTGCCATTGTTTTGATAAAGAGCTTTTTGGTGTTTCATATTCTGCCATAGAAAAGATATTTGTTTTAGGGCTGAATAACTCTTAAATTAAGAATTATGTATATCAAAATGATTTTTGTTCTTGAGATAAAAGCATATAAATAAAAATAAATATCCCTGGACATTTTACACTGCGCTTCTAGTCCCAAACTAAGCAAAGCTTGTACTATGGGTACTAGATAACGGATATAAACATACTTAAATACTTTTTTTGTAAATACATACTTATTATACATAGAAGACACCCAGTCCAATACAAACAAATATCAAAATATGTTCATGCACACAAATTAATGTTTGTACTGTGCGGGAATCGAACCCGCTACCTCCGGAACAGTTATCCGTTTCGAACCACTACACCGAACGGTCGACAATTTTAGTTAATAATGCACGTTTAACTTTCTTCATTCACTCTCACTAATAAATAATTGTTATTTAATTTGAAATCTACCTAATCAATTTAATTTCAGAAACCACTTACATTAGTGTTATAAATCTAGATTTATTATAATAATATGTAGATTCAGTAAAATAATAATATTTTATGTAATAATTAATGAATTTAAAAATGGCATCACCGTACGTGATCTACATAGGTAGTTCTTATTTCTAATCTCGAGGACAAAGCACGAGCATAATATCTAATAAATGTAATAATTTTAAATATAATTCCATATTTTATTAAATCAAATAAACTAAACACACTCTAGTCAACTGTAAGTGGTGTAGTATAGTTTGGAGCGAAGACGGAATCCATCCACGATACAAACTATACACGATCAGTACGCAAAATTCGTGTATAGTTTGTAGTGACCGACTTACAAAGAGACACTCCAAAATATACACGAGCAGTTTCCTATGGGTGCGTTCTGGCCATGTATAGAACGGAAAGACGCCCTTTCGACACCTAATAATTGTTTTATCTTGTGTCTCGCCTTTATCAGGTCATCGCCATGACCTTACCTAATACCAGGTTATAACTAAAATAACTTTTTATTTTTATTTTGATCAGTGTATCGGCCAAGTTCTTGCACTATTTCCAATCATATGCTTTAATAGTACTTAGCTAAAAAATATTAATTTATTACAAAACTAAATTCATTAAAATTGTAGTAATTTGACCCCCTATTTTAGCCTCACCGTAGTCATTATGCTCACATTTCGGCGATTTTATTTTGTTATCGTTTCTCCTTTGTCATTCCAGAAAAAAATCTTCATCATTATATGCCTGTCCGTAACGCTGGTTATATTAATAATAGTGCTAGCGACCTCGCTGAGTTAAGCGGGCCCTGCCGACACCTGGACAGTACGAATTCACTTGGTTGCCGCGTACAATACAACGTGTACATTCGTCTGTATACCATTAACATAGTCGTATGGATGTTGCTTGCATTTCTTTAATACAGCGACATTTTTGTTAACAATTGTCAACATAGTTTATGCATGACCACAGCATTATGCATTGTACGATGTGGCATTGAAATAGGCTGTGTTATGGAATGGGGCTGAGGTGATTTAATTGTCACAAGTCATTAAAACAGATATTATTACCATAATAATAAAATATCATTGACATTGTCCAAGAGTAATTGTTTAATACATTACGAAATTATTAACTAGTTTTAAAACACAGTCTGAATGTATTAGATTTAGTGTATTTAAATACATGTTTTGTTTCATCAATATTGCTATTGAACAAATGCCGTTATGGCTGATAGATTAAACAAAGACAATATAATTGTAAAGTGCAATAAATTGATTGTGCTTTAGGATATTTTATTAGGTCCATAATCTTCAATATTATTATGTAGCTTTGTTGGATATATCGCGCTACTATATACGATAAAATTATGTGTACATAAATTATACCTACACTTAAATTTAATTAAACAATCCTATGTTAAGGGATAGAATAATCACAAATAATGGGGGCACCACACGTTTCTAGTACACAAATCGTTAGTTTAAAATTTGTAACCTTTATTACAATATCATAAAGCTTGTTTTAGTAAGATACATTTATTCTAATCTATTTTCTGTTGAATTGAAACTACAAATTGATTCTGTAGTTATCATTTTATTCAGTTTCAATTAACTCTCTTTTTTAATTTCATGGAGTCGTAGAAAAATAACAAAATGGCTGACTTCAAATAAAACCAAGTATTCAGAAACAGGCTAATGGTGAAACCTTATTAATCTACGAGGTAATTAAATGGCAATCAGTATTTTACCTAATTTAAGTTGTCGAATGATTTATTATTTGCTTAGTTAGTAAAAAGTAGACGCACATAGCTATTCGCAGAAAAACCCTGTTGCAATGCATACTTTTACATGCTTAGTACATTTAAGCTTTTCTTAGTCCTTGATATCGAACGACTATACGCGAGTTTGTATGGAAACAAAGATGCGTTAACGTACCGCCAGAGGGCGCTATCTAAATTCCATACAATTCTCGTTACTCGACGATGTTATGGATCGATAAGAATTCACGTTGCCGAAGATTAATACGTCAATCTTTCGAATAGAGATAAGGCAAAAAGATTAGGATAGCTACTATTTTGAAGAACTTTGACTTTCTGTCATTACTACAACATCACAGAGCTTTAAGAGAAATAATTGAGAAACTAATTATGATTTCAGAATAACGCCTGAAACGATTTTATAAAAAAAAACGCCATATAAAATAAATTCAATAAAATGCACAGGGCTCGACTGTAAAGTGATGTCATCACTCTAATTTGTATGTCATAAAAATTTTCAAAGAAAATGTATAGTAAAAAAATATAGAATGCCTATTCTCTGTTCTAGAGGTTGATGATAAAATTATTGACGGGTATAACGAATTGTGACACTCGAGGGGTGTACTAGTTAAGATCTGTTTATTTTCTGTTGAATAATATTTAGTTTGTAACTTCAACCAGGCATCTGCCATCTTGTTTATTAGCAATATTTTGCGGAGGCTGTCGTTATTAAATCGAATAATAAATTTAAACGTATGGCGAGGTGTCATAATTAGATATACAAACGCGACGCGACGCTACATAACGTGTGCCATCGACAGCACATAATAAGATACATATTGTTATAAATCGCCTCAATATAGACGCAACCAACATTATTGAGTTGCATTTGTGTGCAAGTTATATTTAGGACGTGTATAAAGTGGCCTAGAAAGGGCCCATGTACTGAATAAACTATTTATTTCATTTCATTTGCCGTAGTCTTTACAGTCACTTTGCGTAGCGTTGTGTCGCGTGTCGTCGCATTTGATGTCGCGTTAAAAAAGTAAAAACACTTTTTTGGCGTATTTATGACGACAACCTTCTGTTTTATAAACTGAGCAAAATATTGTCACAGTGTTTTTTATCTAAGATATTTATAGTACTATTTACTCAATAATATTGTGTGTAAACGGCTTTTTCTTCTTAAATACAATTGCATTTAATTAGTAGCATTTCAATAATTAATTATTCTGCAAATCCTTACACAATTGTTTGTTAAATGGTATATTCAGTACCTTATTCATATATTTATCACATGTTTAATAATTTACTAACTGTGATGGAATACTTATTGATGTTATTATTTATCATTATATAAACTGTTTAGCTCAATAATGTTGGCATAGCATTATAATAATGTCCCCTATTAGCTTATTATCACATTTAATTAATCAAAAGACTGTGAGATATAATTTTAATGCCATTTTCAATATTATCGATTGTTAATTTACTTAATTACGTTGAAACCTTGAAAGTTTTTTTTTATAGTAACCTAATAATTAGTGTTAGTTTCCCTTAAAAAGAAAGGGTGTTACAAATCGTTTATAAAATGTACCAGTAAACCTTACTCGAGATGTAAATATGTTTATAATTTGGAAAGATTACATTTATTTATTTTATTTCGATTTTATTTCTTTTTTTTAACCTTCCAAGGCAAATGACGCACGCACTTAAGAGTACGGAGTATTAAAATTTACTGTTGTTTATGAGAGACCGGTAGTCTGGTCGAGGATATGTGTAAAGCGTACTGTTGCATGCTCGGCGCCAACAGAAGAAGATCATGATCCTAGTGTGCCTGCTCATACTGAGCCTGGTCGTCGTGGGCTACGTATCCAGCATATTCATGTGAGCGGCCGCTCGCATGCCGACCGCTAAATGCTCAAAGGTAACTGTTCGCTCCGGCGGGCGGGCGCGGGCCGGGCGTTGGAGAACAGTAACCAGTTTGTGACGGTTTTGTGACTTGTTTCGCCGTGTTATACAGGCTCGAAGCTGGAAACATTGAATTTTCGGATAGATCCAGTTTATTCTGTAACATATTATTAATACCGTTTGATAGAGCTCATGAACCACTTTCAGGATCAGTAACTAGTTTTTTGATATCTTGTATAGTTTAGAAATAATCGAGTGAGATCACTTACCGTTTCCACCCTGTATACTATTTCCAGCCAGTGCTAGTTTGTGAGTATCTAAGACTGACTGTAAATCATACACCTCCAGATTTCTGCGTGAACGGGCCAGACCAAAACTTAAACTGCCAAACTGGCCCTTCCACTTATTCAATGGAATTATCATCAACTTTAAGGCTGTTCCTTTCTGCTACTGGGTTATATTTTGATGGTTAATTTAGCCATTCAGTTATAATTTCTGTTGTAGAAATGGTCAGTCGGACGAGTCGAAGTTGTTATAATTCTTTGAATAGAAACATGGTGGTCATGCACGACATTTTGCAGTCACTCATCAGCTTCAGATTGGGCAACTCGCTTTTACGAAGAAGAAGCTATGCCAATCTTGCAGTTGATGTGCTATGTCGTAGATGGAACGGCACGGCGAAACGTTTGCAACAACGAAACTGTTTCTCGGACGCAACGGACACCCACGGCCGCCCGCTAACCAATACTAGTCACTAATGCGTGTTGTGTTTGTCCATTGTGCAGAAGAAGATAATGATCATGGTGTGCCTACTCGTGTTGGGCCTGATCGCGACGGGCTACGTGTATAACACGTTCTTCTAATTACCGGGGGCAGGTTTGAACTGACGAGTACCATTCTGGGCTTCATAGAACGGCATATTAGTTTACAATGTCGATTGCGTAGATGGCAGTTGTTTTACAATCATAATCATAAATCTAGAGCCATTTCAGAACATGAGTAAGCGCATTGAATTCGATCCAAAAGTATTGTTCGGTAATTGAAATTCGATTGGTTATAGAAATTTGCATGGGTCCAATACACTTGAATGTACGTGTATAAAGACCAAAGCTAGTAGGGCCTTGTAAGATGCTGATTTAAACATTGTAATCTTAAAGTGGTAGCAGAAGTCTTATAAATGCCAGGCTCAACAATATTCTCATTATATCCCCACTCACACTTACGTATTTATTGTTATACTATTTATAAGACATCTTTTTATCCCTATGCATGATTTTGTAGTTAATATTATTTGTGTATTGAAGTATATATTTTTTTATTCATAAAACACCCTGGTTTCCATTGTGACTGTTGCTATAGTTATAATGATACGCCTCAACTCAATTACCTGCAATATAAGGCACAATAAATTATTTAATTGAGATTGGAGGCAGTCAGTATAAAACTATAATCCTACTATAAAATTGAATTCACAGATTTTCTTGATTGATTGACTGAATTGATTCACAGGCACCAAGAGAATAATCGATAGCATATTTATTTTGTACCTTTTGCTGCTGTTCCCTGAAAATTTAAGATAAGTATGGGGCCAGCTGATGTGAGGGCCATAAAGGAATCAATTACAAATTAATTAATTAATTAGATTAGACTACAATTATTTATTAAAACGATTTTGTTATCATCAGTATTTATATTATGTATTGTAGTCATTATTTATCCCATAAATAAACAAGTGCCTTCGTCGATTACTTGCATCAGTATTCGGAAAACCGGGGTATCAGGCAGAATTATTATTAAATATTTACGCGAGACCTCTATTTTCCTTTTGTATTTTGTAGTATTTATAAAGATGTCTAGCGTATTTACTTAGTTCTTTTTCTTGGGTTGTCTAATTTATGAAAAAAAAAAAACAATTTAAACGTAACAATACGGAATAATTGTAATTTTTTTGTTAAAATTAAAGTAGGTACTTATGAACACAGAACATCTAAGGTCAAGAAGAGATGATGTTGAATTGTTCATACAATTATTAATGCTGAATGAATCCTTTCAATTTTTATTAAAATTACATTCATGTTTAGCACGCATTTAATAAAGCAGCATGCAGATGTCAAATCTTCGATCAAAAATATAAACTTAGGATGACACAATGTTCAAGTTGATTTAAGGTCACTATAATTACATAATTATTTTCATATAGGTTTTTCTTATTGGTCGAAGATGATAAACCAAGGTCCGTATTTTGAGATAAAGCTCAAAATTCGATTCAATCTCAAGCTTGCTTAAACCTATTCAAGCCTGTTATTGGTTTCAGTATCAAGCCCAATAACAAGGTTTTGAATTTATGTATTTTTGAGTGTAGATTCGAAATTGGGTTCTGTCTCATAGTACGGGCCTAAATTATTATAATTGCTTCCTACACACATGGCAAGTATAAATCAGACAACCCTTTTATACCCCCACATTATTTTCTCTTTTAGCACCCTTATTTAATTTTTCTTATTAAGTATATATTTTTACTACAGACTTACTAATGTAGACATATTTCACTAGGAAGTTTTTACGTAATATTGTAATTAGGTACATACAGACAACATTATACAGCAAAGTATACATAATTTAACAGATATTTGGACCCTATACAGTTGCTAGATCTCGTGATAGAACTGACGAGTATACAATATTAGACTTATTTAATTTTACACTAAGAGACGTATTCCATAGCCTTATTGATAGATTTATTAATTACTCGAATGTCAGTAAGTAGATTTTATTATATGTTTGAAAGTTTATTTTGCTAGTTTTATAGTGAACATTGAATTTGGTTTCCAGGACAGTGAAACAAAGAAATATCGTCGCATTCATAACGGTGCCTGCATTCTGCCTGGCTCGGAGCCCCCGCCCGCGGTCCCGCGCGGCGCCACCCATCAGGGCCCGTTCTGCCACCTTACAGTTGTTAAATCATGAGCATTCGCTTATACTGTTCATTTAATCAAATTATTCTAAGACGCAATAATCCATGATGTAATTAGTAAGTACAATATGTAGACATTAATAACAATACTTAGACCGTTTTCGTGAATTTATTCTTATAACTGAAAGATCTACAGATAATAATCTATTCGTTTAACGGATAAATCCGCCGACGGAATTAGTAATCGTATTATTAGTGTAAACATAGCTAAGCGTGGAAGCTTATAATCAGCCTAAAGACACGACACTTAATCATATTTATGCAACAACTACAATGTCATTTACTATATTTAAATAATATACGCAAAACATTATAGTAGCATTTTCAAAACCTACGATCTTTAATTAAAACGGGTAATATTAAAGGGCAGAAAGACAGTACAAGTTATCAGTATTCGAATCGGTACAGCGGTACACACGGAAGAAAGGTTCTACCTCACCCTATACGAGTAATTCGCAGCGTAACTGCAAGTGAGATTACTTGCGCCAAAATAGGTATGATGTTCAGCCGGATGTTTGATTTTGGAAGAGTGGTGTAGCCGTAAGGTTGCAACCTGCGCGCGAGGCGCCGGCCCCGGCTGTCGCGGCCCTCCCTGGCACGCAGACTGGCCCCACCGGGCCCCACGGCTGGCCCCCGCGCAGCCGGGGCCGGCGGCTTCGCCCGCTCACAGCATATCGCGCCGGCGTGCCGACGCCGTAGCAATAATGTTCGATTACAATTGTAAAATTGTTTTAACTTTCGAATGTGTGATAGTAGATGCAGTTGTTGTTTAGTTAACTTTATAATATAATGAATTGTTATTGTGAGTGTAACTTTTAATAAACAGTAAGAGTACTTTAAAAACTTTTCAATATAGTAATACAGTCATACAAATTTGGGGCTTTTCGATCAGATTTATAGTTGGATGAATTATTGAAATTTAATTTCGTACCTTTTAAGACGCTCTTCGTTGTACAGTAAGATACATAATGTAGCCGTTTTAGCTAGGATAAATTTTTTAATAAATTTGGAGGTACCAGTCTTCAGCAATATAATAATAGTTATCGAACAGTATTTTACGTTTGTAATATTACTTACATTTTCGTAGAGAAAAATCACTCGAAAATTTAAGCACCAACATTATATTAGCATTTTCCTATAAGAAAATAATTATATTTAATGATAATTAAAAGATATTTGCGAAGGTTTAAAGTAGTCATCATAATGGCATATTGTTGAAATGTGGATATTAAGGATTTGAGAGGAGCGATGCGAAAAACGGCACTAAAGCCCTGCCCTCGCCCCGCGTCCCGCATATAAGAATATGAAGCAATGTTAATTTTAACATTTATAGCATAATTAGATTTTTATCCTTAAATGTAGGATTTCATCTAGTTGCCTTCGTAACGGTAGAGAAGTTAGGTGATACCTTTTCTCTCGGTAGCTTCATTATAAAGTGAGGTCAGTCGCAATTCCACTCGCCAGTCAATTGTTGCTTGTCTTCCGAGCAGGCGCTAGTCCCCTCGCTGCCGGCCGGCGTCGCCGCGGGCGGCTGTCGGGATGGACTGTCGCCTGGACAGCATTAGCACTCCGGCACTCTTAGCGCAAGGCTGCCTTTCAATAAATTAATTGCTGCATCAAACAGCTTCAAATTGGCGTCAAGGCAGATAGCGCCACCGACTCCCGGAGAAGTCCAGTACCTGCAATAAACGCAATTTGCGTATTAGAGTACGAATTACAACGGCTATAACGGCTGTACAGACCAAACTCCCACCTAATGTTGTCAATTACGTACATGATTCACCATGTGCCGTTGAATGAATTTCGCTGTTGTATTTCTTAGTTAAGACAGCCTCTAAGAACTGACTGAATGCAAAGATGTGTTCTAGAATTAATTACGTTTAATGTTTTAATATGGACTTGCGCTAAGATGCTTTGGAGATCAATCCCTAGTCGGCATCCAGCGGCGACGCCTTGCCTAGTGCAGCCTGCATTCGGCGCGCACTCCCGCGCTCATCTCGACGTCATGTCTTCGCGCTGACACTAGCTAGTTGCATCTAACCTCATCGTATTTCTAGTATAAGATTAACTGGTCTCGTTGCGAGACCGCGTACCTGACACCAATGTATCGTAATGGTAGGAGGAGCCGCAGTGTCGCACTGCGAGCGAGCCCACGGGCTCGGCTTCTCCGAGAACATTCGCACAACGCGCGGAGCAAGCTTCCGCAGTCGGCAGGGGAGTTGCGATCGCTTACAACGACCGACTCCCCGCTCGAGTTTATTTGTAAAATAAAGTGTTAGAGTAGGCATAACAAACTTCTAGTCAGCTTTCAATGATCTCTTATTCTGATAATCGTAATAATATCGCAGTTATAATCCTTCTGTTACTAGTGTACATAAGTGAGGTCCCGTGTTCAAGCGTCCGCGGCACACGTGTGCGGATCGAGACGCGCGTTCTAACAAATCTCAATGTTATCGTGAAACATAAATAGATATTTTCATAATCAATAGTATTGCATAATGTTGATTGGATTGCTAATTTTGTATAAGTACACAATTAGTATAGTTTATATACTTATGTGTCAATTCTTATAGCGTTTTATTACATTACCAGATGATAGCTAGTAAGTGTTAAACGTAATCCAAATACATAACTAACAGTGCTGTTTATTAAGCTTATTCGACAGTTTTTGTTCACATGATAATGAATGAAGATATACCCTTGTAAACTCTATCAATTATGAAACACTATTTAGACTTTATAATCAAATTCAATTCGGTAGATCCGTAACTGTTTATACATAATAAAACTGTTTAATTATCTTCTGGAAATTATGCTTGTGAATTTAAGAAACAACGAACATTCAAATGTATTTGTAAGATAATAAAATCATGCGTTTTGGACATTCCATAAATTCCAATTTATTAAAATGAGAAAGGAATTTATATTTTGTGTGGCTGTTCTATCTATACGTTTGTTTATCTCGCAAATATATTCCCCGCAAGCGTATCCTATAACATAGCATTCTGCTTGCTGCAGAATACCCTAATAATACGTGTAGGGTGTCCCCTACTTTATTTGTTGTGATACCGGCAAACGTCATCTTGCAATATCATTAAACAATTATATTATAATATCCTACTGTTGTAAGTGTTATTGATTCTTTACAAATTAATATAATATAGAATTTACTGTAGCAGTTTAACGATAAATGGGGTAACCAATTGTGACTTCGTCTTAGACACATTTTAAAACTTAAAGTTTCAAATACTTAACTCTCTCACCAAATAGAATTATCATCTCTCACAAACCTAGAAGATTGTTAAAACCTTATGTGATTGCAATCTGGCTGACTGCCCGTGTGATTGGCATATAAAATTTTACATAAAAATGACCTGTTGCTGGTATCATAGCAAAATTACAGCAATGCCAACAGCTGCGTTGAATAATCCCGCAAGTTTATTGCTGTACCCACTGTTAGTATACCCGATCATATTGCCAGTAGTCAACGGTAAACCTTTGCCAACACACTGCTTAGGGACATCAGCAACCAACTCAAGTATTCGAATCCCTGTGCTCCCCGCTTAAAGGGTAAATATTGTGGCAAGGCGTTGGCGGACTGGCAGTGTGGCCGTGTATACCTTATAATATTGTTTATTGGTAGAGTCGCTAGACTTCGATTGTAGTTAAATGTTCGTAATTAACAAGTATCCTCAAATTGTGCTTTGTTCTTTCAAACTATTTGATGTTGCTTGACGTTAAATAATGTGAAACATTGAAAATATTAGAGTCTATTATTTCATTTTAAATCGTGTTACTTTATAACATTTGTTTAGTTTAGACGAAAATGTTGAAATACATAGTTTAGTATGGTTCTACGAAAGTTTCTTGTACCTATATAAGTATTTCAGAATTTATATTAAAATTGTATCCCTCTTTATGATAAATTGTCTTGTAATCTTCTTATAAAGGAACACTGAAAACTAAACTATCATAACTAAAGTATTGTATTACAAATTAACAGTGAGATTCTGGACACACAATGTAAAATTCAAGTTAGATTGGTTTTATAGTCATATTCTGTACGTAGGTTATCAATCTGAAATTCTCTCATAATTATAAAATAAACGGTGTTTTCTGCTGTAAAATTTCGTTTTCATGTAAATAAATCCCTGTCCTGTAGGCCTAAGATGCGCGCCGTTATAACTTTATAAATATAAGATGGCGTGAAAACCGCCTATCACGGCGCGCATCTTAGGCCTTCTGAATCTTAGATCATCAAGCGAGTTAATTCCACCACATATTACTAAGAAAATTCTTCGTTTTTGCCTATCTTATCTCTTCTTTACAAAATTGCAAATAGTAATAAAAAGACAACATGGAATTGAGATCGCCATTTGTACTGTTGAGTGCGATGGTCTACTCTAATTTTATTTTGGCCCAAAGGATAACTGGATAAGAATGCCATTACAGTATTGATTCCTAAGGTAAAAAATGCGGTAAAATTTGAATTTTGGCGCCTCGGCGTTTCATTAAATCATAGAGCAAAATAATCCTATACCACAAAGCCACGCTATTGGCTAATCCATGAAGCTACAGATAAAAATGGAGGGCAAAGTTGGGAACAAAACTTGAGTCAAATACCTACTTATATCTATCTCGCTCTCTGTGGCCCTACCTCTCTTTTTAGTGTGAACTGTAGTATTGCTATCTTCTTATTTAAATCTCCTTGTAAATTCTTCGAAATAGCCAATTCACTAACCAAATAAAAAATTAAATAAATAAATAATTAATATTTGAAACTTAGATTAGTTAAATAAAAAATCACAAAATTGTCGGCCATTTAGGCTTAATGTGTTGGCGAATCAGGGAATTACAATCCCAATTTCTGAGGTATCGGTAATGTGGCAACATCGGCCGAATCCGGCCCATCATGGCGGTTGTTTACTATGCAGTTGATTTCGTTTGAGATTTTTCAAGGGACCTTATCATTGTTTTGTCTGAAGAAATGGTGCAAAATTGTATAGTGCGTGGTTGCGGTAGTTCGTGTTGTCCTGGAAGTGATATAAAATTCCACGCGTAAGTGTTTATTTCGTGATTTCTGACAGTGGATCATTGTTAACATATTTCTTTGTATTTTCACAGTAATTACTTCCTAAAACGTTTTACCAGTATTTAAACTTATTATTAAATGTTACATATGTCAAGAAAAAGAAGATTTTACATTGAGTTTCATTGACTTTGAGCAAATTTAAAATTTTTGTTTCTATAAGACATTTTGAAGTAGTATGACCATATTGAGGATATATCTGGGACTTTCTGTGGGACCTTACTTATCTAATTTTGCATAATGTTTTCTACGGCCGTTTACTGTAATCAATCCATATCCAAATCCGTCTGTCAACTGCCAAATTAAAATCTGTTTTCTATCAAATATCCACAGTTTTCGATGCCTTTACACTTTCTTAATGTTGTAATTCATCTTAAAACAAAAACATCGAAAACCTTTTTTCATAATCATATTAAGTGCACTTTATCAAGACACACTGTTTAAACGTAAATCAGTCTTTGTCGTCCTGAGAAAAATAAATAAAAGGTTACCCTACTTAGAAAGAGAGAGCCTGCCCACAGAGAGCGAGATAGTGATACATAGGTTGTGCTTCAAGTAGGTATTCTAAGTCTGGCCTCCATTTTTATCTTTAGCTTCATGGGCTAATCTTCGTTTTTGTCACAGATAAGGATTTTATAGGTTTTTGTATTTCTTCTTTTTTGATGATGTTGGCAATACACGTCGAGGTCGACTTGATTTGTGCCATTTTCAAGTTTATAGGTGATATAGATGACCCACGCTGAACTGTCCCGCCAAACTCAATGACAGGGGGGCGCTACCATCGTTCAACTATATGGTTTCCACAGAGAGCAGTGGGTTTCCAACATGGCAAAAATCTGAACCAGCGATCCGGTATTGACGGTGGCGCCCCACTGTCAATGTCATCGACAGGACAGTCCAGTATTTTGGAACTATACGAGTTACAAAATGAGATCAAGTAATGATATAATGAAGGATGATAGATGAGTTTTTGTATTTTATGAAGTATATCATTTATTTGGTTGGCAATGAATAAACTAAAAAAGCCTTTCTTCTAATGACCACCAAGTAGCTCATTTTAAATTTAGCATTGTAGGGTTGACATTTCAGTAAATTAAAAAGTAAAATGTCAAATAATGACAGTGACACAGAGCAGTGACAGCTGGACAGGATTGGCGTTTTTTTTCCAAATAAATGCGGTGTTGTATTATTCGTGCGCAATTTTAGTAGATTTCTTCAAGGATTGTTGCTATTTACTGATCAAAAATGAATGCACCGCCAACCTTTGAATCGTTCCTTCTTTATGACGGAGAAAAGAAGTGAGTACATGATGCTTAGTTCCATTTTTGTTACTTCTTGTTTGTATCATGACTGGATTTCATTGATTTTCTATCTAACAACATTACATTTTCAGAGTACAGAAAGAAGAGGACACCAAAGTTACCAATGCTGCGATATTTACCGTAAACAAAGAAGACCACACGCTCGGAAACATGATCAGACAGTATGTTAAATATGTTCTAATGAAATAAAACTGATCCAAAATAGAGATTGGTTTAAATGGATTATTTGTAATCTCTTGTTATTGTTGCAGCCAACTGCTTAAGGATCCTAAGGTACTTTTTGCAGGCTACAAAGTACCTCATCCGTTGGAACACAAATTTGTACTGCGCATTCAAACAACCTCTGACTATACTCCACAAGAAGCATTCATGAACGCTATTACTGATTTGACATCTGAACTGTCTTTATTTGAAGAGAGATTCAAGGTAGGCCAATAAATTTTATAATTTTAAGAAATACTATTTCCAAGTTTCACAAACTTGTTTAGAATAAGTAATGCTTTATTATATTTTTTACATTACTGTATATTTATGCCATTGCGTTTAATGGTTAGTTATTTATTTTATTTTCCGTTTTTATACCGTTTATTATCCTAATAAAATTATTATTAAAATAAAGAAACTAGTCCCAACATGCACATTGTTATATGAGTTACATTATGCACTCACAGCTTGACATTTCACCTGCTATGCTGCAGCTGTGGTCCGCGGTCACAAGCAGTCTGCTTGTTTCTCTATTTTACTTTAAATGGAACAAGAAAGTTTTAAATCTTATAATTATTGTTTCAGGAAGCAATCAAAGAAAAGAAGGAAGGATTGGATTAATTTAGAATTAATTAGAATAATTATATTTTATAAGAACTAGGTATAATCAAATACATATTTTGCATAAATCAAGATTTTTTGTAATTTGTAAAAACCTTCCTAAAAATAAACAACTAATGACTTTTGAGAGTAAAAACTATTTGTGATTTCATAAAAGACCTTTAGCTAAATAATGAAACACATTTTATATTAAATTAATTTTATTACTTATAAAAGATTATAATATTTTGGTGTTCATTTTCATTGCTATGATGTAAAAGTATGTAGTACAAATTGTACATAAGGTTAAAACATGATTGTGATGAAATAGATCAGTTTGTGCCATGTGATTACATAATTATATCTTTCTCAATGTGCATTATGCCAGATAATGCAAATGAAAAAATAAAAACCATTCACCTGATTACTATAAAAATAACATGCAAATATTTAATTTATGATAAAAAGATCAATTCTTCTTATTTACAAACATTGTTTAAAATATTAAACTAGCGAATAACTGATGCTATTGCAATGGTAAATATTAATAAATAATTAATACCTACTGAAACAAGAAACAACAACAACGGTAACATTAAAACTAAATGATTAATAAATAATCCTTAAAACGTTTCTTCTTCATCACAGTTCTCTGTTGCATGACCGAACACTGAAACAAAAAAAGAGCACATAAGTTTACCAATGGAAACGTGATTTATTAGAAACTATTCGGTTTTTAAGTTGAAAATGCAGTTAGTAAAACATCTGAGTAAAGCAAATTGCTTTTATTTTGTAAACGATAAACAAGCAACCTGTTTTGCGCGTTCTCTTTTAGCTTTATACTATAGAAAAAAACATAGTATGTATGTATACTATACACTACAGGTTGCCGTATCGAATCCACTTCAAAAAATATAACGGAGATACGATTATATCGCGTTTGGCTGAACCGATTTTGATTATACACTCGACATCAAATAAATCGCACCTCCCGCGACAAGCATTTTCAAACGTATGCTTCCCCACTTCCCACCAATATTGGCACCGTTTGAAAGCCTAGTTCTGACCTTCATTTCATTAAAGGAAAGGTTTTTACCCCAAAAATGTGTCTTTAGAAGGATCCAGAGTCACTTCTTCAAAAAATAGGTAGTTACGCTAGAGCCAACTTTTATGGCTATAAAACTGTTAAGTTGGGATTAATCGCTATCCATCTGTTAAAGAGGACACGTGAGATCATTATTTGGTTTTATAACCATAAAAATTGGTCTAATTGATCCCATAGGTGGGAGGTATTTTTTCAAGTCACATTTATGGTATATGTTAATCATTTATTAAGAAATTAATGTGTTTTTCTTTAAGGATATTTATTGGGCTTTCAAATAACACCAATATTGTTGGGGCACCATGATTGTGTCAGAAGAAAATCGTTAAAGTTCGCGTCGCGGAAGGTGCGGTTTATTTGATGTTGAGTATAGTTGGAAATCAAGAAAGTTGCGTTTCCTTTTCTCATTTTATTTAATCTAGAACTTTTATTTAAGCACTTGTTTACCTTCACAAATATCGCAGTAGGGTCGTGGCGCGGGTGGCGCCTTTTTGGCGGCGCTTGGCGGCGGCGCGTCGCTGTCGGCGGCCTGGCGCGGGCAGTCCTCGGTGTCGTGGGCGTCGAACACATCGCAGATGTCACAGAACAGACGCGGCGCTACGGCGCGGGGCTTGCGGCCGTTACTGAGATGGACATAACATAATGAATATGAATACTGGATAACTTATAAACCGCTAGGAAAGAGTACAGTGTATTTTGTGCAGCCGACATCACATTAGACTATAATAATAAACACATTTTTGGACATTTAAACTCAGCCCAGCTAAAGTTTAACTTATATGCTTGTGGTATGGGTGCTAGCTAAACGGATATACTACTTATATACTTTTTTTAATAATACATACATATTATACATAGTAACATCTGCCCGGCCGGATGTAGTGACACTAAACGGCCGACAATAATAAGAAGCCAGTAAAATTGCAACTTAGATGTCAGTGTTTGCTATGCTATCGTTTGTAACATTAAGCTTAAAATACAAAACAACTGCGCATGAGTTATATCATGAGTTAGGAAACCGCGGAAAAGAATTCAATAAAGGATCTGATGCGCAAATGATTGTTCCAGGAAATAATCCTTTTGATGAAAAAAAAAATGCTACGATATTGGCGTGAACTAAAGTTGCTGACATAGCCCGACGGATTAGCAAGCTGAAGTGGCAATGGGCAGGGCATATAGTACGCAGAACTGACGGCCGATGGGGCAGCAAGGTTCTGGAATGGAGGCCGCGTACCGGAAAACGCAGCGTGGGACGTCCACCTACAAGGTGGACTGACGACATCGTAAAGGTAGCAGGGAAGCGCTGGATGCAGGCTGCTACCAATCGATCAACGTGGAAAGCATTAGGGGAGGCCTATGTTCAGCAGTGGACGTCCTATGGCTGAAATGATGATGATGATGATGATTGGCGTGAGATCGCTTCTTTCAGAAAACAACCGTAAAGTATGTACGGTACAAGATCAAAGAACTTACAAGACAGGCGAGTCGTTGACCAGCGAGCCGCCTTCCAGGGCTTGCACGCGCGCCATCAGCTGCTCGTTCTTGCGCTGCATGTCCACGATCACGGAGTTCAGGAAGCTCACTTGCCCATCCAGCATCTCCTTGTCTTCGGACCTGCACACAAATTAGTCAGGTCTCTACTATTCCTATATTTTATCAATAGTTTACGCCCTTTATTCAGTCAGAGGAAAATGGGAATATATTCCTCCAATTGGGTTTGCTGGACGTTCGTTCGTTTCAGACAAATAACGTCCACTGCTGGACAAAGGCCTCCCTCAAGGATTTTCATATTCCGGTCTTGCGCTGTCCGCATCTAGGTTCTTCCAGCGACCTTCACTAGATCGTCGATCCACCTAGTGGGAGGCCTGCCCATGCTACGTCTTCCGGCCCATGGTCGTCACTCGAGAACTTTTCTGCACCAATACGAGCTATGTGGCTTGCCCAAGTTGCTGTACGTAACTCATTCTAAATGTACCTCTAATTTAGACAATATCATTTCCGAATTTTTATTCCCATTTGCCTTCGAAGGCAATCTCCGCGGGGGCGACTACTATTCGTTGATTTAAATATTTAAAAAGTATTTGAAGTGTTATTCAAGCATATTATAATGCTATAACTAATCAAGAATGAACTTACTTTTGCGTAGGATTGTCTCCTTGACCCAACACGCCCATTGCGTTGTTATCATTTTTGTCTCTAATATCATTGCCCTTCGACGCCAGTTCCTTCTGTAGTAACACCTTTTCTCTTTCTGCTATTTCGACTTTGGCTTTATTAGTCTGAAATCAAATAAAATATTTAGTTTTAAGAAGTATTTTTAACTCAATCTAGACAAGAATTTAAAGGTTTTTCATACCTTGATCTCTTCCTGTAATCTGTTAATTATATCTTCCTTCAGCTTTAAATCTTTTAGTTTGTGTTCGATGTCATTCTTTAGGCCGTTGATCACAGATTCGCTATTTGCTAAAGCTTCCGCGCTCGACTTCCGAGTGGCTTGTAACTCGAGAGTTAATTTTTCTAACTTTGAGTCCCTTTCTACGACAGACGTCTGCTGGACTGAGAGCAGTTCCAACTTCTGAGACAATTCTAACACTTGTTTTTCTGCTTCACTTAGCTTAGACTGAAGGTCACCTTGTTTGGTGATTTCTCCTTTCAACTTTTCTTTGGACTCGTCTAGCTCTTTCTCATATTCATGCAATTTGGCTTTGAGATCATGCTTAACTCGTTTACTTTCTTTTTTGTATTCGTCAAACTGCGCCTGCAACTGTTTGTTGAGGTCTTCGTAGTTAGATTTCTGTCCGTCATTAATGTTGGACAACTGCTTAATGTCTTGCTCAGACTTCGTCAATAGCTGCTCCAACTCAGTCACCTTATCCTTGGTTTTTTGCAATTCGTCCAATTGTTTCTCTTTTTCGGCGAGCGTGCTTTGTAACGATTTAGTTAAATTATTCAGAGATTCTACTTCATTTTTATATTTTTCATTGATTTGAGCATTCTCTTCTTGTAACCTTTTTACAGTTTGCTGCGTTTCACTGGTTTCCGTCTGTAAAGAACTATTAACTTTAATTAGCTGCGCTTCTTTTTCCTCAACTAAAGCGTCTTTGCTAGTTATATCTTTTCTAAGCTGACTGATTTCTTCTTCTAACACCTTTATCTTATTTGATTCTGTTTCGCTTTTCTCATTTTGAGATTTCAACGTAACTTCCTTTTCATTTAAAGATTTCTTCAATTCACTATTAATATCAATATGTTCCTGTAGTTTCTTGGTAGCACTTTCGTGTTCTTCTTTTAACTTGTTCAATTCATTTAGGCCTTCAGTACATTTGGCTTCTAACGTCGATTTATCTTGTACCAGGACAGTTATTTCTTTTCTTAGTGCTTCTACCTGACTCAATTGATCCTTTAATAGTGATTCTTCGGCTGAAGAATTAGCTATAAGGTTTTCGTACTTCTGTTTCAAGGAGGAACTTTCCATGACTACATTATTTAGTTTCTCCTCCAACTGTTTCTTAATTTCTGTAACTTTATTTAACTCTTCATTTACTTGTACAAATTGGCGATCTTTTTCATTTACTATTTCTAAATTAGATTTAATATCAACCTCCAGCATTTCGAGTTTCAATGTAAGTTCTTTTATAACATTTTGTTTTTCTTCTAGCTGTCCTTGTAGTTTAGTTTCTTCTGATTTGAGATTATTCGTTTCTTGGTTAGCAGCAGCTATTTGACTTTGGGCTTCAGATAATTCTTTTTCAAATTTAGTTTTTTGGTTATTCAATTGTGTGGTCATATCTTCCAATATTCTTTGTAAGGAATCTTCATGCTTTCGAGCTTCCTCCAATTTATTATTAAGATCATTTTGCGCTTCTGTCAGCTGGTCTACCTTTTCCATTAATTTTACTTCGGATGATTCTCCATCTGCTTTCAAAATATTAATTTCTTCTTTATATCTCTCAATATCCACTTCCAGCTTTTTACGTATGCTTTCGAATTCTCCGTTAATTTCTTGTTCTTTTTGTTTTAGGGTCTCAATTTCTTGTTTGATGTTTGTGTTCTCATCGAGCAATTTATCGTTATTAACTTCCAAGTCTTTAATGCGGTTAGTCGCTTCTGCCATTTGTGTTTCTATTTCTTTGATTTTATTTTCCGATTGCTTGACCTTTTCAAGATGTTCATCAACAGATTTTACCAGTTGTCCTCGCTCTACAGAGAAGTCTTCTTGTAACTTAAAAAGCTTTTGTTTCAGTTCTTGTTCTATTCTTCCATGATTATTTGAAGCTTCCCTGTGCTTATCTTTAAGTTCTTGGAGTTCCTTCTCAGTTTCCTTCAAATGTTGAGATAATTGATTAAACTGTTCATTAGAATCAGTTGCTTGACCTGTGAGGTTCATGTATTCGTTTTCAATCTTTTCTTTGGATTTTTGGAGTTCGTTACATTTCTCGATATTACTATCAAGTTGACGTTTGTGTTCACCGATCTCCAATTCCATGGTGGATATTTTTGCTTTCAGGTCATTATTATTTTGGGTCAGTTCAGCTACTAATTGTTTTAACTTTTCATTTTCTTCTTTCAATGCCTTTAATTCGTCAGCATTTACAGTGAACTGAGAATTAAGGGAATCTAATTCAACTTTACTTTGGTCCAACGCTTGTTTATGAATTTTTATTTCGTTCATTAATTCTTCAATTTTAGAGTTACGGTCATCGATTTCTTTTTTGTGTTCTTCTGCGATTTTACTGTGTTTTATATTGAAGTTTGCTGTAGCTTGTTCATAATCGTCTTTTAATTTGATTATCTCTTTATCTCTTTCAGTAATAGTTTGTTTATATTCAGTTATAAGTTTTTCAGTAGAACTGTTTGAGACGTTAGATTCTGATAGCAACCTTTCATAATCTTTAGTTTTTGAAGAAAGGTTTTTTTGTAATTCGATTATTTCGACTTTATTCTTTTCATTTTGTTGCGACACTTCATTCAATAATGATTCGTATTCATTCACTTTGTTCGTATATTCATCTTTGACACGAGTTATTTCTTCTTGTAACAATTTACAAGCGGCTTCTTGTTTCCGCTTGGAATCTTCTAATTGCTCTAAATCTAATACTTTGGCACTTAGTTCCATTTTCAGTTTTGTTATTTCTTTGTTTAGATTAACTTCGTGTTCTTTGCTAGCACCCATGACTGGAAAAAACAATTTATTTTAGTTTAGTATAATAATTGTTATGTGTAAAATTTTTCGTAGATTAACTTAGTAACTTACCTTTATTTAATTCAAGTGTCTTATCATCCACCGCAGCCTGGAGCTGTGTAAGCTTAGTATTAAGATCTATAATAGTTTGGCCATTTTCCTTATTAAGTTTTTCTAAATTCTGTTTTTCATTTTCAAGTTTCGATTCTGCGAGTTGCAACTTCGCTGTTAAAACCGACAGTTGCGTTTCGAATTCCGTTTGGGCGATTGCTATCTTCGTTTTGGCTTCGTTTAGCGCTTTTTCTGAGTCAGTCTTTACTTTCGTTAGTTCTTCTGACATGCTTTTTCCTAATGAATCTTTTTCGTGCTCTTTTTCTTTCAATAAAGCATACGCTTCATCCAACAGTTTTTGTAATTCTGAAGACAAAGCTGAAATGTAAAAGGAAAATGTATTAGACTGCACTTCAATTATTATGTGTGTATGTGACTTTGTTGGTGTACCTAATAAATAAATAAATTATTATGCAGAAAGTTTATTTTTAACAGAATGTTCTTTAGTCAAGTTTCTATCGTACATAGTGTAGCGCGCCCTGCTCCTTTAGCGAGTGTGGCGTGGAGGCCATGGTCTCTGTAGCGCGGTACTCACTGTGGGCGGCCGTGAGCTCTTCATTGTGCTGGTCCTGTAGCGCGGCGGTCTCGGCGCGGCGCTGCTCCTCTAGCGCGGAAGCCGTGGTCCCTGTAGCGCGGTAATCACTGTGGGCGGCCGTGAGCTCCTCCTTGTGCTGGTCCTGTAGCGCGGCGGTCTCGGCGCGGCGCTGCTCCTCTAGCGCGTGTAGCGCGGAGGCCGTGGTCTCTGTAGCGCGGTACTCACTGTGGGCGGCCGTGAGCTCCTCCTTGTGCTGGTCCTGTAGCGCGGCGCTGCACCTCTAGCACGTGTAGCGCGGAGGCCGTGGTCTCTGTAGCGCGGTACTCACTGTGGGCGGCCGTGAGCTCCTCCTTGTGCTGGTCCTGTAGCGCGGCGGTCTCGGCGCGGCGCTGCTCCTCTAGCGCGTGTAGCGCGGAGGCCGTGGTCTCTGTAGCGCGGTACTCACTGTGGGCGGCCGTGAGCTCCTCCTTGTGCTGGTCCTGTATCGCGGCGGTCTCGGCGCGGCGCTGCTCCTCTAGTGCGTGTAGCGCGGAGGCCGTAGTTTCAGCGCGCGCTGCTTGTAGCGCCGCCTCCGCTTCTAATTCGCGGATACGTTGCAAATGCGTCGCTTTCTCTTGCTGAAATATGTATTTCATGTGAAAAATGAGTTCATACTGTTTTACACACTTATTGCAATGATTTCACACGGGATCAATTACATAAAATTGGAAAATTCACATCCGAACATTAATTTATCATTCTTAGTCTCTGTCTAAAAATGAATGAGATGGTGGTAGAAGTATAGTAATGTTTGTTTGATAATAAAGTATTAAATGGCCTAAATGGTGCAATTTACTGCTAATCCAGTTATATTGGTGAAAACACGGAAACAAAATGCTTCGTTACATAGGTTCGGAATATACTTTTCGTAAGACATTTTACAGCTCTATTCCGGTAATTTGTTGTTATATTATATAGTGCTAGAATGTCTGTAATAAAGTAATAATTGTATTTATTATATTTGATAATCATAAGTATGAACATTACTCATTTTCAGTCGATAACATCAACACTAGAACATGGCATTATATTTGTTTGTAGTCACGACAGACAAAGAGGAATTTGTAATAATTTTTTGTTTTTTTATTTCCTCAGTAGGTAGCACAGTGTTTTATTTTGGCTTAGATGCGGACATCCCTGTTTTATTAATTCAATCGTTAGATATTACTATTATGTATACAATTGATGAAGGAACTAGTAGTTGTATTTGTTTAGTTTCGAAGAAATATTCGATTTTGTGATTTTATAAAAAAAACTGTTTTAGAAGCATATTTTCTAAAAAAATTACATTAAGTCAGAATTTTGTAAATAAATTTACCTATCACTATAACGTCTACCTTTATGTAAAAATAAATGGTTATTGCTGCAGTAATTTAGGAATTATTTAATAATTTATGATTTTCAGAAAACATTTTTTTCTCTGTTGTCCTAGAAAAATGGCAGCTAGACTTACTTTATATTGATGCATGATATAATTATCTATAATACCTGAAAATATTACTTGCCTATCCCGTGGAAGTTCGAAGATATTTTAATTTCTATGAGTTTAGAAGATTTATATGTAAATAGGGTTGTCATCTAAATATTTTTTAGTTTTTTAAATGCCGTCCGTAACAATACGGTTTTAATGCCTTTGTTAGATAACTATTGAAATTCATTGCTTTTACCATTATTAATTTGTCTGGTCGAGTTTGATAATTATAGAGTTGGCCCTGTGGCGGCTTATTGGAAATCCTATCGTTTTCGAAACATCGATATATATGTTGCAGTCAAAACTCATAATCGATCAAAACCACTTTTGACTGCAAATTTCAGTTAATAGTGGTTTTGACCGATGGCCTTAGTCAATATTACTTTTGACAAATTTTTCTAGTCGTATCATCGAACTTCCACGGGATAGGCAAGTAATATTTTCAGGTATTATAGATAATTATATCATGCATCAATATAAAGTAAGTCTAGCTGCCATTTTTCTAGGACAACAGAGAAAAAAATGTTTTCTGAAAATCATAAATTATTAAATAATTCCTAAATTACTGCAGCAATAACCATTTATTTTTACATAAAGGTAGACGTTATAGTGATAGGTAAATGTATTTACAAAATTCTGACTTAATGTAATTTTTTTAGAAAATATGCTTCTAAAACAGTTTTTTTTATAAAATCACAAAATCGAATATTTCTTCGAAACTAAACAAATACAACTACTAGTTCCTTCATCAATTGTATACATAATAGTAATATCTAACGATTGAATTAATAAAACAGGGATGTCCGCTTCTAAGGCAAAATAAAAGACTGTGCGGTAGGTACCTACTTAGCTTATTTAAAGTAGACATTGAAAAAAAAGTTTTACTTACTTCCATCGCATCCTTATATCGCTGAAAACAAAACAATAGGCGTTATTAAATCTTGATCCAATTTTTTGAAATAGGAATCATGTTTTAGAAAAACTTTTTCACTTACATTATAATCCTCTTTGTTGATGTTTTCCTCTTCATTCCTGAACATGAGGTCCTCGACCTTCTGCCTCTCATCATCCAGCTGCTTGTTCAGTCTGTTCAGTTCGGCTTTCAGTTTCTCGTTCTCGGTGCTCGCCTGAAACATTTACAATCGGTATATTTTAATGGTTTAATTATGGGTACCTTGGGTTGGTATTTTACAATCTCAGGTACTGTATAAAATATACCTAGAGCTGTAAGATTAGGTTTTACTCAGAGGCATACCCACTTACAAAACCTTGGGGGAGGCCTTTGTCCAGCAGTGGACGTCTTTTGGCTGACACAAACGGACTCCCTTGACATGATCGACTGTAATTGCGACTGCACGAATCGCTTCCATTTTGACCCATACTTTACCTTTGTGGCTTCCTTCTTGAGCTGGGCGAGGGCGCTCACGGCGCAGTCGGCCTGCAGAGACACCTTCGCGACTTCAGCTCGCTCCAGCATCACCTGACTGATAGTCAGGTGCCTGATAGCTCGTAGTTCAATCTATTTGAATGGTACTCTACCTCTGAGGCTTCCTTCTTGAGCTGGGCGAGGGCACTCTCGGCGCGGTCTGCTTGTAGAGACACCTTCGCGACCTCAGCTCGCTCCAGCATCACCCAACTAACAAGAGCTCTATAGTTCAAACTATTTGAGTGGTACTCTACCTCTGAGGCTTCCTTCTTGAGCTGAGCGAGCGCGCTCTCCGCGCGGTCTGCTTGTAGAGACACCTTCGCGACCTCAGCTCGCTCCAGCATCACCCAACTAACAAGAGCTCTATAGTTCAAACTATTTGAGTGGTACTCTACCTCTGAGGCTTCCTTCTTGAGCTGAGCGAGCGCGCTCTCCGCGCGGTCTGCTTGTAGAGACACCTTCGCGACCTCAGCTCGCTCCAGCATCACCCAACTAACAAGAGCTCTATAGTTCAAACTATTTGAGTGGTACTCTACCTCTGAGGCTTCCTTCTTGAGCTGAGCGAGCGCGCTCTCCGCGCGGTCTGCTTGTAGAGACACCTTCGCGACCTCAGCTCGCTCCAGCATCACCCAACTAACAAGAGCTCTATAGTTCAAACTATTTGAGTGGTACTCTACCTCTGAGGCTTCCTTCTTGAGCTGAGCGAGCGCGCTCTCCGCGCGGTCTGCTTGTAGAGACACCTTCGCGACCTCAGCTCGCTCCAGCATCACCCAACTAACAAGAGCTCTATAGTTCAAACTATTTGAGTGGTACTCTACCTCTGAGGCTTCCTTCTTGAGCTGAGCGAGCGCGCTCTCCGCGCGGTCTGCTTGTAGAGACACCTTCGCGACCTCAGCTCGCTCCAGCATCACCCAACTAACAAGAGCTCTATAGTTCAAACTATTTGAGTGGTACTCTACCTCTGAGGCTTCCTTCTTGAGCTGAGCGAGCGCGCTCTCCGCGCGGTCTGCTTGTAGAGACACCTTCGCGACCTCAGCTCGCTCCAGCTCCCGCTCTCTCATTAGCCGCTCCAGATGATGCTGCTTCTCTCGGAGTAGTTCCTATTTAAAACACGGTCTTTGTGAAAGTTGGCGGATTTAATTGAAAAATGCTGCTGTGTATTTGTTAGAATTCATTTAAGTCGGTACATTTAAAAAGTATTTTTTATAATCATGTTCCAAAATATACCCTTAACAATGCGAATGAAGACTGTCCTTAACCAAAATCCTGTATACTTTCAGGTTCTTAAAAATCCAAGTAATATAAACAAGTTTTCTTCAGATTTCACCATTATCTTGAATCTTGTATTCTTCTTGCAAAAGATGTCCATGGCTTGCAGCAATGTAGAGTTGTCGCAGGTCAGCATTACCTATAAAATAATCTTAATGCATAGTCTGTGTTTATTAAGCAGGGTTGCATGCATTTTTGTTATAATAAGCCACCATTTACTATCGATTCAATTCGATTCCCTTATCCAATCTTCGGCGATCCAGAATCGGTTGAAATAAGTTTGACTGACTGATTATAATAAGAAATATTTGAATGACATTAATTAAGGTAATAATTATCATTATCTATTTAGTTACCGAATGATGCTGAATCGTTCAGAAGATAATTTAGTGAAATAGCGAAAGTAACTGGAGTCTCTAGGTGAATAAGTATCAGTGTACAAGGTTTGCTTGGTTTAGGACTAGATGGCGCAGTGTGGAATGTCGAAGGTTTCATTTTGTTGAATACAGTTTAGGGATTAGTGCCGGCCGTGGTCAGCTTATTCGTCGCGCCGAATCGATCACAGCTGAACCGCTGCCAAGGTCGGCTTCGCTGGCAATTGGATGAGCTATTCCGTAAATGTAGAATAACAAACAATATTTTCAAAAACCACAACCTTATCCATAAATTCCATATTTTAATCCATAATTACTATAATTAGAGGTAGGAAGAAGGTAGGTACCTTCTTCAATTCGAAAGGAACTCTTAGATCTGTTACATTTTAATGCATAACCAGAGCTGTGCCGATTTTTGTAGAGATAAATGGTACAAAATTTCTTCCCCTGTAAGATTTATTTTTGACGTTAAAAATGTAATCCATCTTATTCTTGGCCCATCTATCTTCAAGTATGCCAAAAATCCATCAAAATTGGTTCCGTAATTTAAGCGTGAATACGGAATAGACTGAGTTACTTACTTTCACATTTATTATGGAATACTTAGTATTAGAACAAAATCATAGGCTCTATAGTATCATTTTCTAGAGAGAAAACAGAGGAATACGCGTACAGAATACTTAAGCGACGACCCCAGCATAACTAACTCTACTAATTTAGCAACTTACGTGATATTCATTTCCAGTCGTCCAGTCAACCAAACTTTTGTTCTATATGGGATTGAGTTCATTAAAGGTAACCAATATACTGGACGCTCGGACTACATCTTGGGATCTTCATTACTTGTTTCCAAGTATAGATTTAGGTAGAGTAAAGAGTTGTACATTAAACTAACCTGGTTACTAATAAATGTGGATTTCTCAAAAAAAATGTACGTAACGAAATAGTAGTAACGAAATAGTAAGGCCATAAGGCTTGTTATACATTGGCGAAATATTGTGAATGCTCTTCATTTATTCAATTCGAAATATTTGTAAGTATGCACCCAAATACGGGGTAATATTAAGGGGTTAGAAATAAAATAAGGGAGTAATCATTCATACTATTTTAATAAAATTATTTTTGTTCCATCATGTTTATCCATTTTGAGTCGTTCTCTGTAAGCTTTTTGCCTTTCGGCATTGGTTTTTGGTGGCATTCCTAAAAAAACAAAAGAAGTAATCACATAAAAACGTAATCTAAATGATTTGATAATTTTTTGCTGGTGGCACTTCTGTAAAGCAGATAGTATCCAATCCTTTTGTTATTAACGCTCTATATTTTTTGAAATAAATTAAGTAGTGAATATTACTATGCTTAGTCAGGTAATAACAGTATACACTCAGCATTATGTTGTACTTTTTCGTAACGTAACGAAATTCGTAAAAAACGTAACGAAATATTAGACAAAATGAGATCAGAAACAAGTATTTTTTTGATAAAATTTGTTACAGCAAATATAAAAGCTTACTAAATGTTCGTACCACACGTATTACAAAAAATGGTTAAATGAAGACTTACCGTTCTATATAAAATCGCTGATTTTACTGCCTGTTACGAAAAAGTAATCCCACAAAACACACACGTTTTCACTAATTTTCGCGATAGATGTTATGGCGGAGACGTCAGGCCAACAGCCATTCAGAGTGCAGCTATTGTTGTCCGTGTAAAATAAATACGGAATTGTTCAGAAACCATGGGAAAGTAGAAATAAATCGTAACTAAAGAGTAAATAACGAAATAGTAAATGAGAGCGACTCATTTTGTTTTTTTGCTTTAAATTGCCAATTCATTATGACACCCCATAGAAATTCAATTTGATACAGAAACTGCGATTACTGTAGAACGATAATACAAAGAAATTTACAATAATTTAGTTACGTATCGCATTTTATGAAACAAAAACACATGAAAAAGCTAGGGTGGCAAACAGGTTTTTGTATGAAAGGTAAAAAAGGACTATTTTTAAAATATCTAAATATTTGGTAATAAGTAGGATTATAGCTATAATTCTTCGTTATCTTAAAGATTAATATTCATCCTTCAAAATTGTGTGTGTGTTTTTTTTGTGTGATGATTTATAAATATAAAACTTTTGAACTGTTTCAAAGCACACTTTTTTTTTTCAAAATGTACATTTTTTTTGAGAAATACTCAAATAAGGTTGGGTTGAAATAAAAGCGTTTTTCATGACCCCCTAAAAAGTAGCAATAGTTTAATTAACTGCTGGTTAAAATTTTAACATTTATTTTGGTACATTAGTTAAAGACAGAACCAAAGCCCTTACTGCTTACTGTAATTTTTTTTTATTACAAACACTATTACTTTCAGAAGTTTGAAGAATACATTCTGTTGTACTCGTAGATATTTCTATCGCCACCTTAGTTGAGCTCGAGGTATAATTTTTACTGAATTACTTGCGCTGATGACATGTTGTAGGAAATTTCACATTAAGCTTCCTACATTATTATTATGGCATTATATGAACCGCACTCTCTGTAAAATTAACTGCTTGCTTCTACTAAACGCGTAGACATTTTACGTCCATGATAATTATAATTTATAACTCTACATAACTTTTCACATGTTAACCACCGAACCAATTTTAATTAATTTTAATAGAGAAATATAAGCACGATCTTGGTGAAAATACACTAGAAAATTTGTAATAAGATCTTACATACATATTATTATGTCAACTAAATGCTTTTGGTATTTAGTGTCTTGATTGTAATATTAAAACTATTGTTTTTGATCAGAGGTCATTAAGAGTAGGCGCACACCGTTGATTTTTCGTCGGCCGATAGTTTAGTCGGACAGTTGATCAGTATGGGCATGTTTGGGAGTGCGCACACTACGCCGATTCGATTTGGCCGATCCTTCATACAAATTAAAATCGGGCACAACTATCGGCCAACTAAAAATCAACAGTGTGCGCCTACTCTTAGACTTTCTATGACAGATCGAAATCTACGCGGACGAAGCCGCGGGCAAAAAGTAAAAACTAGTAATTACTTAATTACCTACTACTTTCGTTACGTAAGCAAATAAATAAAAACAAAAACTTTATAAAGGTCACTTTCACCTACAATGCGTATCGATTTACCTACCTAGGTTACGGTCAAATTGTGTTGTTCTATTCTGGTATGTTACTTAAATTCCAAGGGCGGTACGGGCAAGGCTATGTAGGTACTATCATACTCGCTCATGGATAAAGTTGGTAATTGATATGTACATACTTTCAGTTTGATATTCTTGCAGTGAAAGGGATTTTCACATCAGTGCGGAAAAGCGAAGGGTTTGGATTTCGCTGCAACGATGACGTATTTCGCCGAAAGCTATAGTTAGTAGGTACCTACCTATTTATGTTTTAATATAATATGCAAGTGCTAATTTCAAACCTCGACTGACTTGGAACCGAATTCTATTTTTGTTGACCTATATTCAGTATCGACATTTAACATCCTATGAAATAAAGGGGTCTGCAACTGCAGTTTATTTAGGTTTCCATTTCAGTTGCTTTTAGTTTCAGATAGTTATGTCTATCTTTACATTTTTACCAGTTAGGTAATGTTATCGGTGCTAAAAATAGGATCGGTATTTATTTTACTCCAATTTATTTTTCTTGTCTGACTCTTACCAACCTTTGTAGCTATGTCCCCGGACCGATGAAATAACTATTTTGGTTGCTAAGTTGGTAGATATGTACTTATTTCATCCATAACTAATGATTCCGATGTTATACCTATGACATAATGTGACGAATTTCCAAAACAACTAATTATATGCCCTTCTACTTCATGCGTGTGAAACATATTAATTCAGTTTCCTTTTACTTCATAACATTACCTAAAGATGTTTATATTGCGCAATTACGCGGCATCAAGGCGGTGAATCAATAAGTCTCAGACTATGATTCAACTTACTTCTCGACTCGGGTAATTAATTAATTCTAATCTTATTATTGAGCTAGAACACCTTTGAGTGTATCTTGTAGCTAAGTCAAGATAACAACAAGGCTGTTATATGATAATTTTATTGAATCTATTTCTATTTTTAAATTCTTTGAATTTATCTTAGATGACTAATGATCTACAGACCGTTATTAAATAGTTTTTTCATACTTGATAGTGTAAACTAATAAAACCTCGTTCTACAAGTTCCTAAAAGTAGATAGTCCACTTGAAGCGACGTAATTAATTTGGCCGCGTAATTTATCAGTAAGAGGATGTCTCCGTAATATTATTCCCAATAAATATCAAATTTCCCCGATCGTTCCATTGTCTGGAATGCTAAACATACCGCTGTAGGTAGAGAACTGTATTGGCAATGGCAAGGAAGGAGGCAGGATACAGCCGGTCGGAATTGGCGGAGGTAACCCAAAATTACTGCTATTTCACTCCGTACTACGCAAACGGAGACCTTGTCTGCTTGTTAACTAGCCAAATTCCTACCTAACTACTCAAATATTGAGAAGACTGTACTAACTCGTCGTCTAGATTTCTAACGACAGTCTACCAATTTAACTCAATAAACCTATTTGGTTGATTAAATTCATTGAATACAAATGAAATTATTCATTGCAATTTGTCTAATAAAATTTTATTTATTCTGTCATATTGAAGCCTCATTATATCGCATTTGAGTGGCTCAATAATATTTGTAATATGTTTCTGCTCTAATGGTTAAAGTATTCATAAATATTTCTCTACGGTACCATACTGTAACTTCAACGCGCAAACTGGATCGATTCTCCCGACTAGACTACAATTTTCAATTGCCGGCGACGTTTGCCTAATTAAAGCGAGCTTATTACCATGTAATAAGGATCTAACGGGCGCATGGAGTCGTTAAGTCTGCGCATAGTACACACCTTAGATTACCTCCAGTGAGGAGCTCGTGTAGCAGGTATTACAGGTACAGTACGTCAACTCAATACCTATGTATAATTTATCAATTGGTACGCGAGTAAAGATTCTAAATTGAAAAACCAATTATGTTTTCCCGGAAAATTTACTCTTATATTAAAAAAAACTTTTCTTGTGATAAGATACAAACTATCATGAATATTTTTAGCACTAGGTACGGCAGTAGGTAAGTACAGTACTGCAAGTCTGCGGTAATCGTACATTGAGTAGTCTCAAAAATAAATGCATAAAACTTTGATGCTTGATTGATTTCTAAAAACAAGTTTATATATGGGAAAGTGGTCCGAGACCACCATTAAGTTTTCCTAGAAGGAAATTTAAGTACTCTATGTTTTTGTGTTGACTTAGCTCTTTGTGTGGCCGAAAAAGTGTCGTACCCTTTTCAATCAATGCCTCTTAAGAACGGTTGGATCAAAACTGACTCATTAATTTTTGCTACCACCCCGCCTTAAAGGGCAAATTATTCGTTAAATTTTGCAAACCATTGATTCCTCAGAATGAATATACCTAATTGATCACCAATGACTACCTACTTCGTTAAAATATTTTGTGTAGGCTTTATTGCATTCCTCAACAACCATATTGTGCTTTAATTCTTGCAAATTACCAAAATCATCACCACCAAAACCATATTCAAGTTTAAATATACTCCCACTCTCAAGATACGTATTTTCCTGCCCATATACATATGACTGCATTAACATGAAAAATGGGATTACGCCTCTCAACAACAATTCCTTATTTCTTATTCAAAAAGATTTTTTATCCTTGACACGGGTTTACATTTTACCGTCCACACATTCAACAAAGCGAGAGGATGGGATTTTCATGTTAATACAAGTCCAGCTAATTTATAAAACATGCTCCAAGCTAATTTACAGCGTTAGTGCAATAAAACAACCACACAATTAATTATAATACTTTATTAATTATCCAATTTAGGAAACGGACAAGGAAGGGTAATAATACAAGGCAATAAGAACATTTATTTGACTCCTGTCATCCATTTTATTAAATTAATTTACAGTCATACATCATTACGAACTAATCTAAACCTATGTTACCTACTCATACTAAAAGTTCGTTAAGTAAATTACACTTAAGATTACGTGGAAAATCTAATATAAAGCAAGGGAATGATTGTTTCTGAGTCGAACTTACATTAATGAATATTATCATTACAACTTACAGGCACTGGATGTTTAAAATTAACAAAGAAAGAAATATTAATTACAAAAAGAATGTAAGTAAAACATTGATTGCATCAAAACAAGTATCAATATCTAAATAATTTCTGGGAATAAATAATAAATAAGGATATAAAATCAAACATTATCACAGTTCTGCATCTGGTATAACTAAGCATTTTCGGATATAAAATTATACAGTGATTTTGAGCGTCTATAAGGTAGGTATATTGTGGAACATGATTATAAAAATAGTTGTTGGTATTTTGTACTTTAACAGTGCGTCTTTATTATTGACAAGTTTATTGTCTTAGGAAACCTGTTTCTAACAAAGATCTAGAAAAGCGACCGATAAACGGGTTCTTTTTTAGATGCTTGCTATGTATCTCTGTAACAAATTCCTGTTGAATAAATAACATTAAATTCTTAAAACGAAATTCTGTTAGAGTTTAGTTTGTTACAAAATTCAATGTCGAAAAACAAAAAAGGTAATTTTATATTCGTTGCTCGTGTCCATTAGTAAACGTTAAATCAATCTGCTGAAGCAGACGTAACAGTCAAAGAATGTTAGCCCCTTTGCCGACAGCGCGATGGCGACTCTTGCGTCAAACGTGTGCTGAACTTCAAAAACATTGAACATTTGCTGTGTGAACTAGCCGGACAATTTGACAACTTCTTCAACTTTGTTTGAAGTAGTTTGAATAAGGGATCGAACACCACTCACCAGTGAATAAATTGAGATTATAAAAAAGTATAATTTAATATGGAAATACTATCGCTTGATCTCACTTTTAGGTTTGTGTTTTCAAAGTGAACTGACTGAACGATTAAAAAAAAAAAGATTTCAAAACATATAAAAGTAGAGTCAGTCTTACATACATCTTCATTTTAGGAGACTTAGGGATTATTAGTGTATAGTGTCTGATCCCTGTCACCAGGACAAAAACGCGCGTCAAATTAACCGTGACGTTCCCCACGGAAAATGTTCGTAACGTGATTTTTGACGTACGACACACGTGCGAGCGAGTCAGTCTACCGCGCTGCGATCGTGGGATAACGTACCTGTAGGGCGTTCTTCGCGGAGACCGGGGTGGATGAGGCGCGAGGACCACCGACTCGCTGCCGCCGTGCCGTTAGTGACAGTGCAAATGCGCAAAAACATGAGGGGCAAACAACACGCGTTAACGCACTCACTCGCTTCCAGCTAGGACGTGCGCCACGATAAAATCATATCCACAATTTTGAAATTTTATTTTATCGTGCCGCTCATACTAGTCTTGCAGGTGTGTGCGGTTGGGAGAAGGCTGGTGTTTGAAGCCAGTTTTCCACGGAAATATTCCCAATTTGAACTGACGGCAGAGGAAATCATTCCTGGAAAACTGGCGCTAGGCTGCCTAATCACCAATGCTTACTTATCATTAGCACGGTAATTTTGCGAATCTTACTCTTACTAAGTTAATTAAATTTTACAAAACTGACATAATTTTCTTTGATAAGTAGGCAGTCTTTGTCTACCGTGAACTCGAGTTAATCTTATAAGTTTTACGTAAAATCCAAATAATAAAATTCAATCAACGCTTTAAATCGAGTTTTGAATGTCTTTTCAAAATAGGAGCTTACTCGCAAAGTTAAATCTGATCTGAATTCAGAAATTAAATGGAAGTTAAGGAATATCTATGAAGAAAGTTCGAGCTCACGGCAGATTGCAAACGTTAGCCCGCTCCCAACTGCACTGCGGCATTTTGGTTCCTAATAGGCATTAGGAACACCGCTTATACAGCTACGCCGGATAGCGATACTTGTGTACACTCCCAATTTGTTTTGGCCGTGTACACAAATAAATCCAATCTTCGACTAATGCCATGAGACAGCAAAAAAGAGATTACGTAAAATTGGTTTTGCAATACGATATTTTTATCTCATCAAATCGAAGATCAGAACACCAATAAAAAACTTAAAGCTCTAATCAAACTCTAATTTGCAAATGTTTTGTGACTGTGCTAATATGACTAAAAGTTAATGCAAATACTACGGATATTAGAATATAAGCTGTATAAATACGTACGTATTATAATGTTTTTCTATATTTTGATATAGGTTATTATAAATACGAATAAAATACAGATCGGAAAAATATATAAATACGTACGAATAAGTTACAGAAATAAAAATAAATATTTCAAAATAATTGTGCTCGTTGGAGTTTCATAAGAGCTTTCGGTTTCGGTTGAACTCTCTCATGCCCAAACAATATAAATAAATAAATAAAAACACACGCAATATTAGTTAAAATAGCGAAGGAAATTCGTTAATGACATAATATACACATGTACATAATAAATGTTTTTACAGATCTAATCCATAAGTCCTAATAGGAGAATCTTAAAAATAATATCACAGTCAAAAATCATAATAGTTGGACATCATAAGATATGACTATTGCAGTCTTTTGGAACTAATATGGGACTAAAAATTAAGCGTTCCTGAAAGCACACTAGTAGTGATTTAAAAATGTTTATGATTCACCTACGTCGAAATGAAAAATATAACTCAAAATGATGAAACGTGAATTGTAAACAGAATAATAATATAAAATGCAAATAAATATAAATTAACACAAGGGCCAAACCAAGGGGTGCCAGCTACAGACCAAAATAACTTAAACCGCAGTCATGCAAACGAAAAGCTACTTCTACATGAAAACCATAACTTTTGAGTGTCACGCCTTTCTGGAACTTTTTGAAATAAACTCTTGTACCTACAAAGCCAATGTCTTGTATAAGTTTTACAACTACGAGTAAACACAGAATTGTATGCATAAACAATCCTATCGATAAGTAAATAAGTTATAGTGATTGAAAAAAAGGTTTATAAAAAGTCATATCAAATAAGCTGAAGGAATTAACTGCCCTTCAAATGTAAACGACGTACGGGTAAGTGAACTGAAAGGGCGACACGCAAGAGAAATGGTAGCTTTTCCCAAAGCCCGAGAAGTGAGTGCGCGGCGGCGGCATCTCGACGTATATGTCCGTAGCTGCGGCGACCCCGTGGCTGGCCCTCGTCACGGCGGCCGGCCGGCCCGCCCAGCGCACCACCTCGCCGCCGCCCCGCGCCCGTCGCACCCCGCGAGACGACACGCTGCTGCTGCTGCCGCCGCTCGACTCGCTGCGCCTGGAGCGATCGCTCGCTCGGCTCTCAAAGCTCAACACGCTCTCCGAACACCGCCATGACTTCGGCAAAGTCTCGCTCGCCCAACGGCGAGGATTCAAATCTTTACATTTACTGTTCGCATTGTTCGAGCGGAACACGATATCGTAGTACACGCGCGGCGTCGGCAGAGCGATGATGGCGCAGCGGTCGTGCTCGACGTGCTTCACCAGCAGCGTTTTGTCCAGGAGGCTGGGCGCGCTCCGGTGCGGGCGGGCGCGGGCCGGCGGCGGCGGCGAGCGCGGCGAGCGGGGCTCGGCCGAGCGCGCGCGGGGCTAGCCTACCTGAGCGCCGAGCGACGTCACCCCGAGCCTCACCCCCGCGCGGGACGACGCGATGGACGTGCCGAGGGACGTGAGCGACTCGCGCGAGTTCGAGCGCCGCAGAGGCGTCGCCCGACCGTTGCTGTGGATGGCGCACGCGCCCGGTTTGCGGTTCGACGGCGATCGGGACACTTTCGCGATTGGCGCGAACAGCCCGAAGCGGTGGGCGCACTCGAAGTACCTAGAAACGATACGGGTTTTACCACATGTTTCAACAAACTTACGTGACCTACGGTCGCCAGGTGTACCTCTTTCCGTCCACGGATCCATCGTTCTTTCCCAGGGGATCGTCCAGTTCGACCCCCGCCCACACACCAGTAGCAAAATCTGTGGTTCCAACGAAGCGCAGAGTACCGGCTTTGCTACCTCTACTGCTCGAGACAATGACGCGATCGCCAAGTCGAAGTTCTCCATTGGTCGTTGTCGAAATCGAAGCGTCTGCGGGAAATTAGCATGGATCAATATTTGATTGCTCTACCTGAATTAGGATGGGTTGTTTTGGCGTGATACTGACTCATTTTACTGCTGACGAAGCTGCGCACGCTGCCGTTGGGCGAGAGCGTGCGGCGCGGGCGGGCGGCGCCGGAGGGCGGGCGCTCGAACACGCTGCCCGCGTCCGACGCCGGCGACGCATCGTGCGGCGCGTGCGTGATCAGCGGCACGCGCGTCAGCCGCGTCAAGCGGGAGAAAACTCCGCGCTTTTCCGCACACTGAAAGTATCGCACTCCTGCTACGGAACCATCGTTTTTCCCTGAAAAGGAAGTTTTGCTTGAAGAACTTCTTCGAATATTACCTCATATAAAATCCCCAGAATTTCAGCTTTCTTACCAATAGGGTCATCGAGCACGATTCCTGCCCATTCTCCGGGAGCGAACTGTGTTTCGCCAATGTAAGCGATTTGGCCAGGCTTAGTGCCTCCCACCCAAACGCGCTCGCCGATAATGAAACTGTCGGTGTCCTCCGTCAATATGACACTGTGATCTGAAAGATACAGTCGAAGAGTTAGTCGAACAACAATTACTATAATCTCTCTTTGAGATCAAGTAAATAGATTAAGAAAGTAGGTAAGTCCAGTGGCGGCTGAAAATGTCTTCTGAATATGCATGTCTCCTCCGCATTCCATATTCGGCGCACACTTATGATGTGCACACGCCTTGAATACCGTTGTGTGCAAGTGCAACGGCCGAGGTAAACCATTTGCAATCCCGTTTGCATATCATTGCATTACATCGGACTCTCAAACTTTCGCTTCATCACATAGGTAACCTAGATATCAATAACAAACTGCATTTGACTATGATGGATTGCTGTAATTGTAAAGTGCATTCTCTATAAAAACCATGCTTTCAACAAATTGTCAAACAGTGCGTGACAATCACCATAAGCAAGCAGAATCTGATCGACAGAAACATACAGGGGCATGAGGTGTTCTGTGAAGTCTGGGGTGTATGAATTGCTGTCTTATCAATTGAAGTGAAAACTGTCTATTGGAGTGAAAACTGTATATCGAAACGATTCCACGATAATCACGAATAAGTAAAAAAGATAAATATTTTTTAACATAGTTTTTATTGTCAATAGTGACACGTTCTTATTAATTATTAGAAAATTTTGGTGAGCAGTAAAACTTTTCTCAAATTATTAAATATGAATTCTTCATTACTGCAGTCATTAGTGAAAATAAAGTCTAATGAATTTTTGCATTAACATATTCTGACAAAGAATCTATAATTAATACAGTTAGTGTCCAATAACATGTGGAGTCAGATAAATAATAAAATAATTTTCCTTCTCCCATTGCAGATTGCAAAGCATAGGAATTACATTTAGATGGCAAGATAAGGTCAAAGAATCCTGATTTGTTGTTTGCTCATGAGAATCGTTTCACATTAATTGAACTTTGTGCATATCGTGGAATCGTAATGACAAAGTGCGGTGCGTTTACCTGAGGACCTCCTAAGGCCCGCCTCGCTGAGGCGCCGCGGGTGCTTCTCCCAAAGCGCGTCCATCGAGGTGATGCTGTACGTGCTGCTGGCTGCCACGACACAAGCGACACACACATACATTAGCACTACTCACACATAGCCACACCTGCATCTCAATTACCATTAAATGAATGAAACAGCACACTGATAAAAACCAATTCGGACATTTCCTATGGCTCCCTTGTTCAAGTTAACTCCCCATGCAATAAATTATATCAAATTATACGACCGCTACCAAATAAAGGTATTGACAAGGACGTTAAATTAAATTAACGAGGAAACATAACTTTGAAAATTTAAACCGTTCCTCATAATATAAATCGTTATGGTTTGAGACGAACAACAAGTTGGTCATAAAAAGAGCAACACAATAGATAAGATTTACGATTTTGTCGAAGAGACAATACAGTTAATTGCGGACGTTGGTGGTACGGTCCGAAGGGAAAATAGTGTCCATTATCTGTCGTAAGGTCGATGGTATGATCGAAGTGCGGAAACATGTTTTGTGGCCGACTATACGCTGTAGGAGCGGGTTGAGCCGACCGAGTGCCGACTTAATTCGACATTGGCACGCGAGCTTCACGGCTAACAGCGATAGAAGTACTTAGGAAAATGCGGTGATAAGGCTAAAATTAACTGCCGTTTATTTCCATTGACAAATCTATCCGGATGTATTTATTACTTTGGATTTCCCTTTTTCCGAATTGGAACATGCGCTATAGAAATATTAGCATAGGTAGGCGTTATTCGTGTTATATGTAGACTTGTAGAGGCTTAAAATTCTATTAAAATAAAATGCAAAACCGTTCCTGTTTAATACATTCGATTAGATGTTATGTTGAAAGCCTATTGATTGCCTTTTAATAAATAGAATTACGAGAATTTGCAAATATTATCTTTTCAAGCATTATTTTTCCGAAGTTCACCAATTATGTAAATTATCTTTTTTTTATTTAGATTTCCATGAAATTAGTATTAGTGTATGTACTTCATAGTTAAATATACATTTAAATTAAATAATTATGTACCTTCCATATCTGTTTATAACTTGTAGCAGTCACATTTACATAAAATTATACTTTTAATCTGTACCATCCTAGTAAACATATCGTGTTATTTTGCCGTCTATTTTGTCATGCAAGAATTTCATTATTATGGCAATTATTTCTGTGTTGCCGTATTATTATCATGTTACTGAACACTTATGGTTCCTACACCAGTAATTAATTGATAACAAAAGTGACTTTTCAAATGATACAAAGTAAATTAGTCATAACCACGGCATTGAGAATTATTTACGTTGTGTTCCTCCACCGTTGTGTAATGATTCGTATGAGCGGAAATATGAGAGGAACAGACTTACTGGAGGCCTTACGGTGAGAGCGTGGCCTGTCGGGCAGACTGCTGGACACCTCGTCTTCGTCAGCTTCAATAAGGTCTGCCTCGTGACGATAGAAAAGCATCGTGAATTATATACAACAAAGAAATGAACGATGATAATTGATAAACAATAACACAAAGCGTGCATGTAGTGAAGTTAAGCATCGTTCATGCTCGCTATGTGCACGCATGCGATCAGAAACAGAAGATCTCTTCAAATTATTCAAATAATAACAGAGCGGAACTCACCTGACAAATGTTTTCTAGAATCGTCGCTGAGCTTCCTCAGAGTGTCCGTGGAACTGCCGTCTATGACAACAAAAACAAAGACACATAAAGCAAAAAATAAAACATGCCGACAAAAACTAGAAACATGTAGTTTGTGATCAGAGTAGATACAATTGTAACATGGACAACGATAAGACTATGTTTCATGATAAAGATGTTTGTTTACAATTGAGATAAGAATGAGTACTATAAAATAGTAAGAATGACAGCCTTAAACACCTACGAAAAGTACCAGGCACAGCTAATTTAATACAACAACCGTTTGAGTAGGCCCACAAGTTGTGGTGGGTGATAATGTTATAACTTCGGCAGTATTTACACCGAGACCCGATTCCATTATAGCGATTAGTTCTGCTTCAGCTGTTGGTATAAGCGTGTCTAATTTTGGTCATCATTAACCGATCAAACTAGTTAAGTAACACGTTACTTAATAACTGTTCATTGTGATGATAGCGCGTAAATTATGGATTAATGTGACAGAATTTGAACTGGTTTTAGATTTGTATTAGCCGAGATAACGGGTTAATAAAACAGAGAGGCAGAAAGAAACGAATTATCAGATGCTTGATTTCCAGTGGCACTGGAAGACTCACAGCTGAAGTGAGGTCCTTTGGAACAAAAGGCAGGGCAGGAGGCTCTCGAGCCGGCCGACTGGTGTCCGCGAGCGTCCACCACTGACGGTGGAATCACCATACAACTGCGTAGCGGGCTGGCCTTGCCACCGCGCGTGGGCCCGCTTATTATAACTTAGATATGATGAGGCACATCATGTACATAGATACTATCGGGAGGAAACGTAGAGACAACAGAAATTAAGCTCTACTTTGAGAATATTTTGAAATGAAAGGAGAAAACGCTGTCTGCAGCCAATCAATACCAAGCGATCTATTTTCTGCCAGTTAATTCAGAGTTAAGATTGATTTGGAAACAACATTCGCAGGATTTTCAATTTAAACTACTTGTCAACTAATCAATCAATCTTTTCATATTTCGTTAAGATAGTATACCAAAATCAATAACAAAATGTAATTTTGCAAGTGGCTACAATTTTGAATTTTGCATAAAGGCGAATGCTACTCTGTTGATATCGAGTCGTGATTATCTCGAGCGAATTTATAGCTAGACCCGTCATAATAATAACTGTAATTAAGCATTCATCAATAGCAATGCAATCATCCAACCTTAGATTATAAATTACGAGGCGACAGCTTTTCCGCGTAGGTTTCGCTACAACGATAACGTCATCAATGTACATTTTCCAAGACAACAACATTTCAAGTACTGTGAAGCTAATAGAGGCAATTGGACTTGTCGTGAGTCAAATTGAAAGCTTAATAGATTACTGCATTGCAGTTACTAATAAATTATTTAACTTCTAATAGAACGCGACAAGCTCTCCCTCCCGTCTATTGTACTTGCAGTTGGTAGATTCCCATGGATATTCCTATTTCTTTAATGATCGCACTTCATTTTGCTCGATCAATACTTAACGAATATGGTTAAATAGATGTCTTTGAGATGTACCCACCTCCTTTGTTGTCAAAAATGTAAGACGCCATTAAATTAAATTGACAACATTAACATAACAAGACGGCATTTTTTCACGTTTGCATGTAACGTGGCAGACTCCCATTGTCATGCTAAGAAGGCATTTGTCATAGTTATTGAATTCATACTTTGACAACTAGTTTGCGAATCCCGCGCAAATAGCAGCAATAAATTTAAACATCAGTCACTTGTCGGCTGACGATTTCAAAACGGATAACAATGTTTTCGTGTCCAAGTTTAAAGATAACCTTTGAGATATTGCAGTTAAAAATATGCGTGAACAATCATCGCTTATCACAGGTGTCATAAGAAATAAAACTACCTACGCTTATATTGGTGCTATAATTGACGGGGGCGAGCATACAACGACACGATGTGTGTGTACTTTTGTTAAAATGAAAATATAAAATATCACGAGGAAAAATACGAGCTACGAATTAAGTTCACATGTTTATATTAAGCACAAAAGTTGTTTGTGGAAATGATGTAATTGCTATAACAGACGAACATTATTTATCCATTTTATTAGCACACGACGAGAGATACTTGACGGCGGACCGTGGCCGGAGCATATTACGTGTGACTTTGGTTTTTGTGGTCAAGTTCAAGTTGAAAATAATTACGTGCTTCGTCGCATGAACGTACGCCCAAACAATTAGGCACATTCTGCAAATAACACAACGGGGCCGTAATTACGTTTTTCTGTTAATTTTTTATCGACTGTCAATGCATAATGCTGTTTGTTATAACAGAATTTGTTGTTAACATTATCTAAAAAGAAATCAATATGAATGAATGAGATATAAAAGCAGATTTGACTGCTGTCGTATAGATAGGTAATGATGATGACACCATAGTTATAGTAACATACACTGCAAGAGTTTACTACTATTGGTTGGTAGATTAGACTGGCCCAATTAATAGTGACACTTTCACGGGTGACGAGGCTAACATGCCAATTGAGGACAATTTGAGCCACTCACCAAAGAGGTGCTTTAACAATTGATGCAATAACGGCATGTTGCAGGACAAATGCAATTCTCAACGGCAATTACACAGTTTAGCTAATCTTAAGAGTTGTTAAAAATTGCTTGTAATTAACGCGGCTCTATGTGAAGTAGTAAAAATAAAAATGTGGTGTGTGTCTTTGACCAATAAAATTCTTAGTCTGCTATTAGTAATAAACATAACATTATGTTATCTGGAACACTAGGAAGTGGCAGGAGGACTAGGTACATACGAAAATACTTAGTGTAGTCTGAGTGACCGAGTTGGCGCAAGTGTCTGCGCTACCGCGATCCTTCGCTCTCTAATGACAGCTTTACAATTTGTCAATTAGGTACAAAGGGCTGACTAGTAACTGTCATTCATCTCCATAATGGTCGACGGGAAATTCATAAATTTCCTCCAAAGGAAGTACGCTTCAAATTGATTACCATTCTCACTGACCCCCTACACGTGAGGCAACATTGGGGTCATGTCAATAAACACTACTGACTCACCGATCCCGTATTTCAAGTATTTATTTATCTGGCCATTATCATAACTGAAATATTGTTGGTAAGGAATTCAACTCAGGTACATAAAAGATGATTGTGTTTCATCTGAAGGGCGTGTGACTCATCCACATGTATGGAGGAGACAATGTTGATGTTGCTTCGTCCCCAAAATGATAAGATGAGCCGTGAGGGGAAAAACTCAAAACTATAATTGTATTCTTTGGAAAATAAAGACCAATGCCATCTTTGGAGTGTTTAAAATATAAAAGGAATATTGCGTATTAAAAAGCAACAGACCAAAATTACAACCGATATGCCAGCAAGTCAACAGGCTGCAGATGTATTATTAATTCATTGAATCTTAAAATTTATAGACTATTGTGTCGTTTACAGTGAATCAGTGGGCAATAACTTTTTTATATCCATAGCTATGTAAAGATAAACATTGCAATAATCAACATCGGATCATTTCAGATAATGTGAGCATCTCGACATGTACGCAAATGGAGCTCACGGTTGTCACGAGCGATTAACTTGAGCAGCCGGCGGCGCTTTTGTGAGAGTTCCCTTATTAGGCTGGTTAATAACCGCAGCCGCTTAAGACAACACCAGCTTAATAATACAATCGTTAAAGAAATTGAATAATTCAAAAGTGTAATTGACGATGCGTTCCTTAAGGGTCGGCGGGTATGGTATGAAATTGGATCTTGATTCACGGCACGTAGCGCCCTGCACACGGTAATGGGCAGTAATGAGCCGCACCAACACACCACCTGGCATGCTAAATGAGGCTCGTCGCACACGCTAAACGATACTAATTAAACAGACGAAACGGGCAAAGCTTAATTAGAGGCAAAAAAGGAAGGAGGCAGAAAGAAAGCAAAAGAATTTTTAAAGTAATTTGATTTAAGCTTTGATTCCCGAGTGAAAGAAGAGGAATTTAATACCAAATTACCAATGTAAGAAATACTTGGACGTCAAATTACTCAGTGCTGACAAGAAGACATGATTGATGTGGCGCTACGCAAAAAAACTGACATAATAGTTGTAGCTTTTTGCGATCGTGTTATCGGGACATTATCGATAGATCAGTTGGACAGATATAAACTCAACGTTTATGATATAGACATTGTATATTGATGTATTTTCGATATAGATAATAATAATATTGAGGATAAATAAACGCACAAATTCCTTTGAATAGCATTGTTTGTTATTGACCCTGTTTATTTATCTACATTATTCTAAGAAATTTGCGTTCGGAAGGGACGTGACTTGGAGCGCTACTTCTCTCTATAGTACATTTATTATTCATATCTCTGAATCATAATGTTTGCAATAAAGAAAGCCGAAAATGTGCCTATAGCTCTTACGCTATCTATCTATTATATAAAAGAAAGTCGTGTTAGTTACTCCACTTATAACTCAAGAACGGCTTAACCGATTCAGCTGAAAATTGTCAGGGAGGTAGTTTAGAGCCAGGAGAAGGACATAGGATACTTTTTATCCCGTTATTGATTGCCATTAAGGCGGAACAAAGTTCGCCGGGTCAGCTAGTATTATATAAAAGAAAGTCGTGTTAGTTACTTCGCTTATAACTGAAGAACGGCTGAACCGATTTAGCTGAAAATTGTCAGGGAGGTAGTTTAGAGCCAGGAGAAGGACATAGGATACTTTTTATCCCGTTCGAAATTAAAAAAAAGTCTGGTTATTTATTGCCATTAAGGCGGAACAAAGTTCGCCGGGTCAGCTATCTATATATATAAAAGAAAGTCGTGTTAGTTACTTCGCTTATAACTGAAGAACGGCTGAACCGATTTAGCTGAAAATTGTCAGGGAGGTAGTTTAGAGCCAGGAGAAGGACATAGGATACTTTTTATCCCGTTCGAAATTAAAAAAAAGTCTGGTTATTTATTGCCATTAAGGCGGAACAAAGTTCGCCGGGTCAGCTAGTTAGACATAAAGATGAAATAT